TAAAGGTAACGACCAGTTTTGGAAACGCCCCACTCTCAAAAAATTAAATGGAAGCTCTTATTACCAATAATGTGAAAGAATATGTTTTGACTAACACGTGATCATACAAATTTTGCCAAGAAACCGCCTACTAATTGATATATTTGGTAAATTATTATATCTATTTGGGCCTGATAGATATAACGCACATGTCGCACACGTGTGCCTAGTCCCATATACATCTTTCTGTGTACAGTGCTTGTACATGTAACTTTACCAAGACTGGGCCAAATTTCTTATAATTTTGATGATTCCAGAACTTTGCAGTACACACCAATACTTATATGCTAGATGATCAACCTTTTCTGATCGATTCCACAACGTTTCTTTCACAATGCAATTGCATGACCATAACTGGTCTTTATCTAGTACATCCATGCCTTAACACACATGAACTCAATTTTATATGCAGCTTGTAGAACATATTTCTATTCAAATCAATGTAGAACTTATCTTTTCACCATCGTCATTTTGATCATTTTTTAATTTTCCTTTTCAACTTTTCTGCCCCTTGTGAGAATTCCCTTTCCAACAATTTTTCTTTTCTTATTTTGTATTCCACAAATTTTTGTTCACATCCTTTAGTATATAATTTCCTCTCCCCGCTCAATTAAAATCACCCTTTCTTTTCCCTTTTCTTTTGTAATTTATTATAACAGAAACTTCAATTCACCCACCCATTGTCACCATTAATATGTACTACCCATTCTCTCACGTCTCAGCCCCTTCCAAATCTCCCAGACAGGCAATATTTATGTTCAATCACTCAATCTTTCATCGCAAACATCGCTTTCAAATTGCGCTTATGGTATTCCCATCCATTTCACTCTTTTTTCCCTCCCAAAATCCCTCATTAATTTTTCATCGCCTTATCAGTGTTACCCAGCAAATGGGAGTGATTTGAAAACAAAGAGGGGGGATGATGGTGAGCTGGTGGTGCACTGGAGCTGCGTTGGAGCTGATGTTATTTTCACCTGCGACAACCCCCTAGTGCGATGTTACACCTTGGGGCGTTAAAGTTAATGTCGACTTCTGGGCATGAATTGGAGTTTAATTGACAGAAATAGTCTTTAGCATTTTGAAAATGTTTGATTATTTAGCAATTTTTATTCATGCGTATTTTGTAGTGCACTAATAATAATACTGGGAGGATTTGGAATCATCAAAATGATAAGAAATTGACAGTGACTTGCTGAAAGTCATGTGCACTGTACACAGAAATGCGTATATGGGACTACACAAACCAGTGGCGGATCCAGGGTGGAGGCACGGGGGCCCGGTCCCCCAACCCTTGCAAAAATAAGGTTTTAAAAACAGATGGTAACTACAATTTTACCTTTTTGTTTTTTGCTAAAGGAAGGAGGGGGGGGGGGGGGTTGTTCACTACCCCCTACCCCCTCCCCCTGTTGAGTAAAAATAATTTTGCTCCCCCCCCCCCCCCCCCTGCTTAATGCTAAATATTTTCTTACTCGAGCTATTGCTTGTCATATGTTACATAGGGGATTTGAATAGCCATCCCTTTTAAGGAGAAATCTTTTCCTCTGATATTCTTCCAGACTTGCAACAACAAAAAAATGAAAAAGCTCACAAATTATTGTTCACCTTTCCAGAACTAGACCTTCTCTTTATTAAAGTCGACGCTGGGTACAAACTTGTTGGGACTTGCACGAACGTCATGTATTCATAATTGAATGACCAATGATATCATACCGAGCATACCCGGCAATGTATGTTGACAGTTCATGTACGTCAAACTGTGTTGTGTCTCTATTACTCAAATTTCAACATAGACCAATACATAGATGTATACATGTGCACATAGATTGTCACCATTTGATCTTGAGGTCTCAACTTCATGTTTTGTAAGTAAATACATTTGATTTTCTCTATACAATTGGAATCTTGGGGATTTTATTGTTTATTAATCCAGTTCTAGAGCTTTATATTTAAAACTTGAAATATTTCCTGTTGTAATTAAGAAAGATGTGGACGGAAATGGAGAAGGAAAGAGTAGACGTACATGCATGAACATAGGGAGATGGAGGGAGGGAGGGAGAAGAAGAGAGAGGGGGAGAGAGAGAGAGGGGGAGAGAGAGAGAGGGGGAGAGAGAGAGAGGGGGGAGAGAGAGAGAGAGAGAGGGGAGGAGGGGGGGGGGGGGGGGGGGGAGAGATAGATAGAAGAGAGAGAGAGAGTAGGAGAGGGACAGAGTGAGAGATACCTCAGTCACATTAACAAAACTAATACTAGACTGACACTAGACCGACACCAGACCGACACCAGACGGACACCAGACCGACACCAGGTCGACACTAGACCAACACCAGACCGGTACCAGACAGACAATTACATTACCACAAATGGCCCAAAATTAGTTGGTTTGGAGTTGCATGGTGCAGTTTGACTGAGGTAAGTGAGATAGAGAGAGAGATACAGAGAGAGAGAAAGAGAGAGAGAGAGAAGCAAAAGAGCGTGAAACCAAAAAGACTGAGAGATTTATAGAGCCATACTTGTACATTGCACCATGGATGAACTGGTGAACATCTAAATTTATTGATTGCATTACATCAATGCACTACAGCTAAGAGCGTATATTGAGGGATAACGAAATCCCTCTCGTGTATTTGAGCCTGCAAATGTGCCGAGTGCATTTTTTAGACTTTCAGAAATTGAATTTGGAATAGTTGCCCCGTCCTTGCAGTTGCTTTACGGTACTCTCTCCGACTTGCTATCACGTACCCGCCCCATTGCAAACCCCATACTGTAACACAATATCTCTCTTTCATATTTGCCACCATGTGTAAAAGAAAAGTCAAAAAATTCATATGTTCATGCGTAGTTTTTTTTAAAAAGAAAACAAAAATACATTAAGAGCTTTGAGACAGTGATTGCATTCATTAGATTTGCCTTGGATTGTCCCTTTAAAATGTCAATTTTTATATTTTCGCCCATCCTCTCCCCTCATTCTCATATTCTCTTCTCTCCTATTTCTCTTGCAGTCTACAATGTACATGCTTGTAGCCCTCCTTCACATATTTTGTCTCTCTCTCTCTCTCTCTCTCTCTCTCCTCCATCTCTTTCTCTCTAGATTTTCATATAGTGTATGGTCATATTTATGCCTACATGTAATTAAAAGTATATTTCTCTGGCTCTAAAATGATCTCTAAACTGCAGCATTAAAAGAAAATGATATCTATACTCTTCTATTAGCTAGTAACAATGTACATGTATTCTTTATATCTGTTTGTTCATGTGCTTCATTTCTCTCTTTTGGTTTTTATGTCTGTCTGTCTCTGTCTCTGTCTCTCTGTCTGTCTGTCTGGCTGGCTATTTCTTCCTCTTTTTCTTCTTCCCCCCCCCCTCTCCCCCTCTCTGTGTGTGTCTCTCTCTCTATTTCTCTCTCTCTCTCTCTACTTTTCTCTCTCAGTCTGTTAGACCCGTTGCATTTGATAAACATTGGTGACTCATAGATCTTACACATGAATCCACGACTCACATACAAATGATCTGCAAGATTTTATTTGCAAATATAATCGTCCGAGCTCCACCGTAACGTCGTTCCAATCAGAAAGCAATTTTTGGAATATTGAACCTGGTGCATTTGCTTTCGACCTCTTCTGATTTGAAACAAAGCTTCATTTGATTTGATAACCCCCATCTCGAGTCGAAACCACAAATTATTTGGAAGGCTTTTAACAATTACTTCATTTGATTCCATTCATTACTCATATTTCGATCTTGTAAATATGTAAATACAACACACATATGGTATATAAACTCACAAATCAAAGCTGCAGGAATATTTTTTTGTGATCTCATCAACCAAGCCATGTACATGTACATATACAGTCTATATTGTAAATGTATTGTAAAAAATAGACTGTAAAAGTCCACTGCACACCATACAATCTGACTACGATCCATTAGGAAAGAATTTGGAATATCATTTCATATACATACAGTGTATGTCAAAGTTGTGAAACATCAATGGTCGAGGATATGAAAAGTCGCATGATTAATAACATTGAAATTTCAATCAAATTTCAAGCTAAATTGGCTCATAATCATAGTGACGTCAGAAAAGTAATGCGACTGTTTACGATCTGAAGCCCATTCTGTTTTCTTTCTAGAAGGCCTGGCATGCACTAAAATTCAGGTTGTTAGAATTCTTGTCATTATTTAGATTAGAACCTAAATCAGGAAGATGATATTTGTTTAGTTTTCCACATCTAAATAATGCAAGTGCTATTTCTTGAAAAATCGGATTGCGGCAGGATCATTTTGTGTATAGTGTGCCTAAGATGCCATGTTGGTGAAAGTCCTGTCTAATTAGAATGCAGAGTTACATGGTGCACATGCATGTATGATTGACGACCATGCCTGAGTATACTGCAGTGCATGACTCCCAGTCTAGTCGAAACCTCTGACAGACATACAGTGTATGCAATATTTCAGTGGGGGGTATCCTTGTTTTATTTGCCCCAGTATGGAGTCTTGAACATGTACAGTCTGTATACATTTTTGTATTTGTACCTTTACGAAGGGCGCAGGCAAAATTATTTGTGTCCATGAAGTATGTTCTGAAGAAATCTTCTTTCTATGCCTGACTGTGAAGCAATTAGACTTTGATTGAAATATTCTTGGTTAGAGTGTGTGTTAGAGAAGGTTAAAGCCTGTCTGCACTACTTGCGCCCTCTATATAGCCAACAATGCCTAAGTGGTGACTGTTGATCCCCCATGGTCCCTTCTTCGTATGTTAATTGAGAGCTGAGTTGATGAGATAACCATCTGTCAGTGCCCAGCAGGGAGGTCCATCCCTCCTGGCCAAACTAGTCCAGACAGGCTTAAAGCATTATTACTTGTGTTTTCTTATTCTGCATGAAAAAGCATTATTGCAATGATAATTTAAAATGCATCAAATTAATTTTATCTTTTTTTTCTGTCTTCTCTCTCTCGCGTTTAGCGATCGAGAAGATCCAGAAGGTCCGCCGGAGTCTGAAGCGGTCATCCAGGCGAGTTAAGAGCGCCCTCATGACGCGAGAGGACTCAACAATAACAGAGGTAGCCATGGAAACCGAAGACATGAACCACACCGCGCCTCTGGCCACCCTAGCAACCACCCCCATCTTGGAGGACATCATTTTTGAGAGCAGGGGGCAAAAGAAACGAGGGGGCACCTTCCCCCGCATGGCCCACTTCGACCTCCCGGAGGACACCCCTCCGGGATCGCAGAATGGGACGCTGAAGGCCAATGGGACACATCGGCCTCAGCGCCAGAACGGAAGCCTCAAGGGACCTTGGAACCGGAAGAACAGAGGTAAAGGGGTTCCTGTAGTGAAAGAGGACACTGCCAAGGTTCTGGAGATGTACCTCAAAAGGAGAAGCAAGAGTCTCAACGATGCGGTTCTCACCAGGGAATATTTTGCTCAGGAGAAGAAGAAGCGGGGGAGGTCCGCAAGGAACAATACAGTGTCGATCTGTTCGACGCTCAGTACGGACTCCACAGCCAGTGAGGCCCACGTTCAAGCCACAGTGACTGTGCAAACAACATCGGATGCAGCGGATAGGACAGTGTTTTCAAGAGCAAGCGTGACGCAGCAGAGTTTCCATGAAGCAATGAAGTGTTCGATTATGGAGGAAGGTTCAGCCATGGAGCAAAGTGCGGACGATGAACTGTCGTCATCCGATGAGCAGTCACCAAGGTCGCGTTCGGCGCCCTCTACGTTACGAATGCAAGTCAACAGAGAAAACAAGGAAGGGACGGATACGCTCAAGCTTAAAGACAAGGAGAACGGAACGGCCACTCTCACGAGAGATGGCTACAAGCGTGATAGTAAGAAGGAACCGAGACGTAAGCGTAGTTTCTTAGACAAAGCCAAAAACATCATGAGATCACCAAGTACTTCTCGTAAAATTATCAGGACACCCAGTGCTGTGCAAAGGCAAGAGGAAAACGAGAAAGAAAGACTTAGGGAAGAAAAAGAAAAGGAGAAAGAGAGACTAAGGGAGGAAAAAGAAAGGGAAAAGGAAAAACAGAGGAAAGAGAAAGAGGAAAAAGAACTGCTAGATAAGAAATTGAAGGAATATAAGGAAAGGGAAAAGGAGAAATTGAAAGAAATGGAAAGGAGGAGGAAGGAAGAAAAAGAAAGGGAAAAAGAATGGGAGAAGGAAAGGGAAAGGTTGAAGAAGGAAAGGGAGAAGAAGGAAAAGGAAGAAATGGAGAGGTCACATACGAGGCATCATGCCAGAACTGTAGTCCATTCAGAAATGAAAAAGACTGGCTTCACTGCCAGGCTCAAGGAATCCTTTAGACGGTCATCGCGAGACCGTCATCATCATAATCACCATCGCACCAAAGACCACATACCCTCCAAACCACCAGAACTCCCTCCACGACCTCCCGAACTCCAGCAACCCAAAGATGTCAAACCCAAACGATGGCCCAGCTTCCAATTCAAACGCAAGTCGCGGAAAAGCGCGTCGACACCCACAGACGAAAGCGGCACAGGCGCAACGACTCCTTCGGACACTGCCTCTATGGACTTTGAATACTTTGCATCACGTGTGGACCATACACGATCGCTCAATGATGCGGAGCGGAGGAGACTGACAATCGAAATGCGTCAAGCGAGGCGGGAAAACTCAGGAAATGCCAGTGATTCTCAGATATTGGACCGCGTCGCTGGAGCGCATCCGCCGCTCTCGGAAGCCACGTCCCACGATTCCTTCGGGTCATTCGCATCGTCGGAGGGATCAGAGAGACCGGAGAGGCCTCGAACCTTGGCGTTCAGACGGACTAGAGCTGAAAGAGCACAGAGAGGATTAAATAGTAAGTTCAGAATTAGTCAAGCATTTCCGAAGAATAAGTGCTGTACTCAAGCAGTCAAATCTATGATATGTCATCTATTGAGAGCCAGAGGGGTGTTGATGTAGATGCAACTCAACTTTTATTAGTTAAAACCAAGGATGAGATTCCTGCGCCGATCTGCGGAACAAAAAATGGAAATCTGACCAATGTTATAGAGTCTCTTTAAGCAAGATAACAAATATTTCTCAAATCAAGATTTTTTAAATGCAAGGAAAACGTGCTCTTTTACGTAAATATATTCTAAAATTGTCTGCAAAAAGTGTAGCAAAAACAGATGATAAACAATGATGACTATATCTCCCTCTAATTTTTGACAAATTTTAGATAACAGTTGTTTCCTCATCAGGCTCTTGTGAAAGGAAATAACTATTATTATTCTTGTTCTCATGATCATCATAGATGTGATCAGACTAGATAGCACCACGCCAGGTCACGTTAGGAGAGACGTGGATACTTCCTTCCCCGTGCTCCCGGCAGCGTTGCTGGCGGACGACCTTGTGAGGGACGGAGGAACCGACAGAGGAGCTAACGGAGGTGGAGAAGGAGCAGACCGAAACGTGACAGACTCGTGGACGGAGAGCGGAGGTTAGTACGGCGTAAAATCTTGAGCAACAACGACCAATGACGATGAGAGATGATGCAGGAGCATTGAGTTGTCTTGAACAGTTTTCCATAGCATGTTCAAACACAAGTGCCAATTAAACCCTAGTACCTAATAGTGCCCAAAACTACCTGCATCTTTATCTTTTTATCAAACATGTAGCTTCGTTTTTGATAATTCATCTCCAATAAGAATGTTATTCTATAATATCTTATTTCAAAATGAATGATGATGAAAGACCCCCCTCCCCCCAAAAAAAGAAAAGAAAGGAAACCCTTTGAATTTGATTTAGAATTGATAAGATCTTTTCTTTTGCTAAATATATCACTCATTGCAGATGTAGTATCGAACGCCGGTCTGCCCGTAGAGTATAAAACACGCTTGCTTTACATTATCATTTATCACCTGACGAGGTGCTGCAGCGGTGCTCGAAACGTCGTAATCTTTTAGATCCCTTGTTGACCATACATTGCGAGACAAACAAATATCACTAGCGACATTATTTTCAATATTTTTTCTTTTCTTTGCTATTTGTAGATGGCAGTGACATTCCATTCGAGCAACGTAACCAAGCTGAGCGGGAGGAATACTTCAAGCGTATCGCCGACAGGCTTGCCATGATTGGAGATCAAGCGTTGGAGGACTACGAGTTCAACGACGGTGCCGCTGGCGCCGCCAGAACGCAGCAGAGACCGGTACAGAGCACATGCACCGCAGAAACCTACGCTTCATGTTCGGTGTCTGTGGGAGCTACAGCGGCACCGGGTATCAGTCATAGTAAGTATATTTTATGTACGACTACAATCGTATCAGTGTTCAATGTAAACATTTATCACTAAAATTTGGTGAATTCTATAGACAAAGACTTTCACAAAGACTAAGATCGACTTTAAGTTGGAATTAACTATGGCAGGCCGTTCATGCCACTGGTTGCTCTCACCATTGGTCTCTCAATTATGATCTTTAGATAATATCTTTATCTTCAATAATGAATTATCAACAAATGTAAATTCTGTAGATTTGTGACCATGATTTGTACCTCCCTTGAGAGACCACTGCCAGCAAATGGTGAAAGCAAACAGTGGCATGAACGGTCTGCCATAGTTAAGTCCAACTTAAAGTTGTTCTTAGTCTTTGTGAAACCCCACCCCCCCCCCCCCCCAGGACCTGATTTTTGGTGTGGTAAGGCTAAGTATACTTTTGATTCAGAGCCTTAGATGCATTGATGCATGAATAGAAAGAAGAGATATGATTTATAAACACCTTGTCCAATCTTGTTGCAAAGATGGAAGGAAAAGAAGCATTGGACTTCTTAAATGCTCAAGATCTTTAAGAGTTGAAATTTTCTATTTCCCCACAAATTAGTTATTTGCAATTATTTTGACGTAGTGTCTATTCATGTTAATTCCTTTCAGATACAGGATATTTTATGTTGACAAACTTACCATGAAGTCAATACAACTGTTGACAATTTGAAGAAGAAAGCCTGATCAAATTAGCCGGTATATTCCTGCTCGATCAACTACTCATCGTTCTCTTCTCTTTGCTCGTAGATCATGCAGCTGAGTATATGGAGATAGGCCAACGGATACAGACCGATGTAGATGGTATGCAGCTGGTAAGAAAATAGTATTGATCACATTTACCCGGGAAAAAGCGATTTACCTCTGGAAAGCTCCAAATTAGCTCTTGAAATCTCCGAAAGGAATTTCCCATTTTCTGTGGATAGCAAAACAAAATAGATGAATACAAAAAATGTAGCATCGAGGGAGGGAGGGAGGGAGGGAGGGAGGGAGGGAGAGCCCACATTAATATGACAGCTCAGCTGGTAGAGCAGTGGTCTCGTAATTTGGTGACCTGGGTTCGAAACCAAGGCGATGCGCTAGTGCCCTTTGGTAAGGCATTTATCCTCATTACCAGGTCTCTCAGAGAGGACCTACATCCATCGACCGTGTGGTTGCTTACTAACAAGCATTTATGCTTTCTTAGCAGTCAGGTAAAATAACCACCACCACCACATTAAACAATACTCTAGATTGCAGAAGTAAACTTCATGATGATATTAATTTTTGATTGATGATTATGAAATAAAAGAAATGATCGGGACCTTTAAGAGATAAAATCAGATAAAATACCATCATACATGTCATGATCTGTCATTGTTCATTATGATAATGAGGATGGATGATATATATAGAATCAGGAAAGATAGCCATCGCTACAATAAATGATGAATGAAAGAAAACACATTGCTGAACTACTTGGCACACAATATTCAATACCCCCTGACATCCATAGCTTGAAGAAAGAATACTCCAGTTTCTAAGATGAGGTGTTATTAATAGTTACCTTCCTACATTACATGTAATTTGATATCACTACTTCCTGACCTATTTTTGCCGTGCAAAGTGACCATCTACCTTGGAGGCAGTAGGAACCACTTTTTTCAGTTTTATTATCGTAGAAGATGAAGCCTTTAGGCAATGGACTTGTTTTTTTATAGACATACTGAGTGTCTCTAGTCTCCAAACCAGACAGCTAATATTTTAATTGATCAAGGATTATATCCTGTACATGTACATGATGTCCCGATGGTAATGTACACTATTTGTACAAACGTACAGAATTAACAATAATTTAATTAAGTATTTCTCGAGTGATTCTCATTAAAACCTCCTCATGAATATAATGTTCATGTTCATATCATAAGAACTTGTCAGAAATCTTTTTTTTGTGTGTGTGTGTGTGTGTGTGACATTTTCAATGGCAAAATGCCCATTATGTCCTGTAAAGTATCCTACACGCATATCACATCGGCAATTTGGGTATGTTCATTTGTTCATCGAACACACCAGTCATGACGAAATCATGCATATTCAAGCAAAGATCCAGAAAAAAATTCTTCCTGTATGTAGGAACTGTAAGAGGCATTGATCCATGCCTTTTTTTAGAATATAATTTTTGTCAGTAAAATACAACTTTTGAGATTAAAAGAATACAGCTTTTGAACTCCAGAGGATGGCAGGTCTGCCAAAGCTCTTTTATAGAAAATGTTCTCATGTAAAATTGTCTGTTTTTATCCACCCCCCCCCCCCCCCTCCTGTTGCTACAGAGACGTAGAAGCCAAGCCTACTTCCCCGCCAGCATGGTCATGGGAGTCATCGTGAACGACACCTACCAGTCGTTCTGCAGCGCCATGCAATCCATCGTCGGCCAGGACGTTGGGATGGAGCAGCTCGCCATCGTCTTCAAGTTCACCAAGGTCGCCGTCAGGGCCGCCAACTCCATGGGGAAGCATGCTAGCAGCATCAAGGATAACAGTGTCCGGTTCATCAGCGATCGTTTCGCCGGCTGGCTGGACAGCCAAGGAGGATGGGTAGGTCAAGGGGTCATAACCCTTTTTTATCGCAAAACATCGGGAACTTGACTTTGTAGCCTACTTCCTAAGTCACAGTGCCAAACTGACTTCAAATGAACTTCATGAAGGATTGCAAATTGAAAAAAGAAAAGAAAAGAGAGCTGGCAATGCATGTGCAAACATTAGCCTGTGTTTGTCTAATAGTTATCATGAAAACAGCAACCCGCCAAAATATCTTTCTTATAGCATCAGCAAAAATATTGGCTTTTACGGTATTTCAATATCGTCATATAATAACAGGTGTATCATCTGACTTCACAGTAGTTTTGGTAATTAGTGACACCCAATACACTTTTCTGTGCCTTTAAATCAAAGCAGATAAAAGTTTGCAACTTTGGCATGGTGAAATGAAATGCAGTGGCCACCTCAAGGATCAGAGTTCCAACCTGTCCCACTCCTTGCAGTATAGCGTCTGTCTGGAGCCAGACTCTGAATGAATTTCTCCTAACAATCTTCAAACAAGCTACTTGTGTGTCAAAATGTCCCATCTTGTTTCATGTGCTCTCTGTAACTTTGCATTTTATAACAGCCGAAGGTTGAAGAGCAGAACAAGACTCCAGAAACAGATGTTTGAAACAATGTCTCCTGGTAAAAAAAAAAAAAAATATATACAGATTTTCTCTTGCTGCCAGTTTGACAGCTTTCCTTTGTAGTCATCTGGCTTCTGGTTCTACTACTACTAACCATGGGTGTCAATTCACTTATGTGTCCAGGGGCCCGTTTCACAAAACTTGTCATCAGTGACAAATGACAGTATTTGTTATAAGCTACTGAAATCCTTGCTTCTGGGCAGATTTGTCACTAATTTTTGTCATTTATCATTGAAAAAAGGCTTTGTGAAACACCCCCCCCCCCCCAGGTGGGGGTGGGGGGGGGGGGAGGGCTGGTATGCCTTCTTATCCAACTTCTTATACATGATCCCAAACAGTGTTTAAGTTCGCATGTACACAGTGCTTCCTTCAGCACTGTTTTACCTTAATACAAATTGGTGTTATTTTTACAAACTGGTAATTAATACTTACTAAATGCAATTTTGAATACCGTAGGCCCAAGGAACTCTTTTTAGATAGCAATAATAACAGCTGCCTATATATCGTTAACATATCCATCTTAGGGGATGCTTTAGGTGTGTACAGAGTAGTATTATTTCCATGGCTATAGCTCGGTTGCCCTAACATGGTGAAGGCTTTCACAGAATAACAACCTACCAGGTACCCTTTTCTCCACCTGGGTGGAGAGTGGCAAATTCAGAGTAATGTCTTGGCAAAGGACATCAGTGCTGCAATGGGACTCGAACCGCTAACCACCTAATCCACAGTCTGTTGGAATATCCTTTAGACCATTTAAAGCCCCACTGCACTACTTATAGCTACTTGCACCCTCTATACAGCCAACAATACCTAAGCGGTACCCGTTGATCCCCCATGATGCCCTTTTTCTTAATATGTTAATTGAGAGCTGATTTGATGAGATTACCACCTGCCAGTGACCTTGCAGGGAGGTCTAATACCTCCATGCCAAACTAGTGCAGAGGGGCTTTAAAACGTATGATATGGATTTATAAAAGGTGCTGTTGGAGGAGATCTGATATACCCCCCCCCCCCCTTTTGAGGATTGACACCCATATTAAGCATGCTACTAACTTTCACCCTCTAGAGTTCTGTGACGTGTGCACAGCAATGATTTCATGAATTAACTGGACATTAATAGGGGGATCCCCCAACTCATAGATACATTTACGTTTACATCCATCATAATTATGTACATAGCCTTTCATAAATAGACTCATCTTTTAACTCACCCATTCCTAGAAATATATTCAATTTATTCATGCTATCTTTGTTGTTCGGCCATACATGCAAGTGATACTTCTGTAGGGACAAGATGCATGCTCTCCTTGGTGTTTTTAGACCAAATGATATACATCGCGGCTACCATATGAGATCTACTGTAGATCGGCTGTAGCTGAGCCGCCATAATAAGGCGCTAAAACATTCAAGGAATTTTCTTCCCAACGGATACCCATTTACGAGTGCACAACTCTGCAAGTTTGCACACAGATCAGTTTGTGGTGGCACAATTTTTTTTCAGTTTGTTTTCTTGGCCTCCATTTTCCAGAACAGGCACATTTGATACATGGTGTGTGTTTACACCTACTTTGCACACATTTCAATGTCAAACGGGACTACAGGTACTTTCCACTTAGTCCAGATTAGAATTATCCCGACAAAGTCATTGGCCGACTTCAAGAACTTGGTGAAAATGTATTTTTCTGTGGTCCGTCAATCTTGATGTTGTCTGAGATTCTAACTCCCTGTCTGTATTGCCTTTGATATAATTTTTTTGTTAGCTAGTTCTTTTGCAGAAGGGTGTACAAAACATTGAGTAACATTTGCACTCCTCGCGAAATATAATGCAGATCTGCTATACAAAATCATTACAGATTTATGGGTACATTTTTGCCACTTTGTCGTTCTATAAACAAACTAGAACAATACAATTAAAGCCCCACTGCACTACTTGTAGCTACTTGCTCCCTCTATATAAAAAACAATGTCTTAGCGGTGCCCGTTGGTCCCCCATAATCCTCTTTTTCTTATGTTAATTGAGAGCTGATTTGATGAGATAACCACCTGTCAGTGACCATGCTGGGAGGTCTAATCCCTCCTGGTCAAACTAGTGCAGACTGGCTTTAAAACTGCTTCTACATAATGTACATGATATTAATGTGCTGTTTTTCTTCTCTTTTTTTGCTTTGCTCTACAGGGCTCTGTTGTTACGAGCGATGATTCCGATTCGCTGCACGAAGAATCAGAGATAGACTGAAGGCCAGACATGAAAAGAAGATCACAAGAAGGAGAGGAAAGAAAAGGAAGAAGGAGAAAGAAGGAAGAGCAAAGGTTGTAATGCATACAGTATTGAATGCTGCAAGATTCAACTCATCAGCGTACATATACATTCCCAAGCTGCGACAAGCAAATGGTGGCGCTTTCCTGATACAGCGACAGTTTCTGTGTGTGTCATCCACTGCCTCTGCTATGAGCAATGAGGGCAGCAGACCCAAACTCAGATTCAGCTTGGTACCCCCTTGTAAACTTTTAATCTGTTCTTGAGCTGTTTTTATTCTTCTGATTAATCATACAAAATTATTAAAAGATTGAGTACACTACACAGGGAAGGGTAACAATACTAATCATAAAGTAATCATTTGTTGGTATAGGAAAAATAAAATAGTTCTCTGTTTGAAGTCCATTGCATCATTTAATTTTCTTTTAGGGAATACCAAAACTAAATGAATATACACTGTATAAGAGGTTGTTAAAAACCTACATATGATCTCATATATTTTTCACCTCTCATTTGCTTTACATTAATTAATTGTTTAAGAAGACCTTTTATATTAGGGTAGATTGGTATTATCAGTGTTGTACCATTAATAGATCTGACAAATTACTTTATGGACCTTTCAAAATTGTACATGGTTTCTTTCAAATGAAAAAAAAAAATGTTGTTTCTTAAGACTTCTGTGGCAGTCTTTAATCATGGACCTACGCTTTAATGAAGTATGTTTGATGCTGTATTTAATAAATGAGATACATATGTAGAGATGAATAGAAAATTACTGATTGTACACAAATGCTATTGTTTTAAATAGTAAACACATATCACTGTTTTAATGTGAAACCAATAAACCCATCAATTACCATCCCTTAGTCTCTTTACCTCTCCCACCCTCTCAAACTCTGTTACATTTTAACTAAGTGCTGTCTTAATACTGCACCACTGTGCTAGGTTTTTATATTTATTTTGTATTTCTGAATTTTGTACTTCAAATCATCATTTCATCATTTAAGAAGGCCTTTTGAATGAATGCCTCTAAGGTAACAGCTATGCTGCATATTATTACGAGTGAAAGGGTTGTCTTTTCATTTCATGGCCTTGTATTTTCATTTTTATAACTTCTTTGTTTTTAAAGTTTTTAGGCTATTGGTCAGGTAATGAAAAAAGAGAGAGCATTTTGGTTGGTTTTGTTCAAGTTCTGTAGCCTGACACTATCTAGAGGTTTTCATTCTTACTGTAGGAAAAGGAACTGGAATGGGCTTCGAATTCAGTGAACATTCGAGAGCAGTCACAAATTCATTTTTTATCTTCTTTTTTTTTAAACCTTGTTCGAAGTCTAAGAACGTTACATTCAAGCCCGTCGAGTAATGAATCCATGCAATGTAACGATTTCTGCATTAACTTGGTTAATCGTTTGCATTTTATTGACTTTGAAAGATATTTCTCGACAATTCTGGTAATTGTTGGGTAATCTTGACATTCACCTGGCATTGTTCTCTGTGAGAATTCCAGTTCAACTGGAAATTGCATCGTAAATCATTCTCATGATGAACTTATATAAATTGTTTGCAAATGATTTGATGACATTTGTCTTTCTTTTATGTGTAATACTTAAAGATTGTGTCTGTTTTTTGCATTGAAAGTGATAGACCATCACTGTTGATGTTTTAAAAAAGGTTTACAAGATTGCATGAGGCATTTTATGTATGTTCTAGGTCATTCCACTTTTAATACATAATATTGATTATAAACACAGCTGCAACTATTTTTCGAAAAATCAACCGAAGGCAATTTGAATGGCCTTGTACGTCACCTTTGGATACAGTGAAACCTGTCTATAGCGACCGCCCAAGGGAAACACAAAATGTGGTCTTTGAGAACAGGTTCCTTTAGTACATGTTTCAATGAGAAACCAGTTTCAAGGGAAACAAAAACGGTGGTCTTTGTAGACAGGTGGTCACTAAAGCAGGTTTGACTGTATATGCGAAAATTACAATGCCGGCATTATACATAAACTGAATATGAGTTCTATGGGACGTACATGTACAATGAATAGGGTATTGAAATTGCCATCGAGTTGATGTTTCAAAAGTAGTTGCGATCGTGTAAATTGTTTGAAGAAAATGAAGGAAAGAAAAGATGTGATAAAAATAGTGAGTAGATCCCATTTGGACAAACTGCAATGGATTTGGACGTGTGTGAATTCTGTGTAATAACATATTGCTATACTTGGCTATGTAGTGTATGTTTAACTTAGTTTCTATTTCTTTTTACCTCAGAATTTGTTAAGAACTGTAGGCTGAGTACGACGGTCTTTTCGCATGAATAAGTTAAGCAAGCAGTGTATTGTGCATTGCATTATTTGTGCTATGTAAAAGTATGTGATTGAAAATCACCTTGCAAAATTGTTAAATCTTTATTTAATCTACTCAAATAATTTTGCGCAATAGTTTGATCCATCAGCATTTGAGTATTACTTTATTTCTGTTTGTTCTTTATTCTTGTGTAACATCTGATATCAATCCTGTCTCATTTTCAAAAGAATTTATTAGTAATTTTTGTATTTTTTTCAAGTTTTTTAAATATTATTAATTAATATTCATATTTTTTATTCAATTCAACTGAATATTCTGTATTTCGCTTTCCAGTCGATATATATATCGTCTCCTATGTGATATGGAATTTCAGGGAAAATTAATATTTACAAATCTTAAATATAAATCTTCATTTCTCTTGAAGGTGCAGATACACATACGTGTATTAGAATTTATATTCAATTTCTGTTTATTTCAAGTCTATCAAAGCAGCAAACCTCAGCACATTTTTTTGATCATCTCACTCTTAAATAGCAGCATTTCATTGTCTTATTTTTTGAGATTGAGAAATTTAACTTATTCACTTAGATGTACTCAAAACAGTATTCACATTTATCACTTTGGTATTCAACAAGTCTTGCAAATGAAATATTTGCTGTAACTAGGATAGAAAAAAAAAGAGAAAAGTTAGAAATTCTTTACCACATGTAGATCTAAGGTCACTGTGTTCATGTAAAAGGGGTGGAAGCATACTGTATTCGAACATACTTTACTGTTTTAGAGGATTTTTGGGGTGAAAATTAACCTCTACATATTACAAATTAGTACTTTATGAACAGTCACTCATTGTTTTTCACTGGATAATTATCACTTATTTCTGAAATATATGCAATCAGTCGTTTTTTCATTCATTGAAGTAATCTACCAAGTAGGCAATTTCAGTCAGGAGGTTCTTCTATTGCATTTAAATGACTTTTATTTGGCTTTGTGTCGTACATTTTTAAAAAAAATGACATACATTGAAACTAGGGATGTTATAACATTTGATATTGAAAGATATATTTGCTAGGTTTTATTCTTTTTCACCTTTAGTTAAATGATAATGGTAAAAATGGTAAAAGGAATTAACTTATTTCCTCTCAGGAATGGATACATTTCTCATTAAAATACATATATACTTCCTTAATAGAGAGATCACTGGTAGCTGCCACTTTCTTTGATACTGTTTGTTGTTTTTATCATTACTTCAGGTAGTACTAAATTTCTTTGACTTTGGCAAGTTATAATCACAATCAAGCCAAAACAGTTTTTTAAAACTTTGTTTGACTTTTAGTTTAGTTACTATATTTACGGCAAAGCTCTTGTTAACAGTACGTTGCCCTCTTGAAATCCCTCTCCTTGTCTTTGCTTCGATGCGCTCTCTCTTTCTCTCTCTCTTTTTGTCTCGTTCTTTCTCTCTCTCTCTCACTTTCTCTCTTTCTCGTCTTCATATTCTCCTGGCACGTCTACACATGACACAGTAAATCGCATCAGGTGAACAAACCTTTAAACATATCAATGTGTTTGCATTCATATTGTCATTAACAAATAATGTCACATTTGACACATGTCCGGTTATTGCTTTAACTCAATTATGTTTTCCTTTTTTAATTCATTTATGTTTTTATAATATATGAATCATGTAGTGCAAAGTTTGTGTTTGTAAATATTGTACAAGTGTAATAATTTATGGCAGCAATTGTTTTCTGTGTATATGTACAAAGTCACAAGTATAATCTTTCATGTCATTTCCAATGGTCTACCATTTGTACCTAGAAACAGGACCAGTTATCAAACCAATTATGATTGATGATGATTCGTTTCTTTTTCTTGAAATAATTCTAGAGTACTTATGATCATAAAGTCACTAGTATTTATTCCTATACTTGATGAAAAAAAGAGAAATACAGAATAGGTAATTTTGTAGTAGATAATTATCAAAGTAAAGTTATTTGAAATTTCATGAAATTTAGTTTCTTTTGTTCTTTTGTTAAGGAGTTCTTGAAGGTTCTAAGGAAGTGCAGTGAGGTGAATATTGAGATTTGGTTGATGGTTATAGACGTGCTTGTTTGAATGGATGATTTTTTTAATATTAGCCAATAGATTCATCCGTTATAGAATTGTTTAGTGATTACTTGAATCATTGATTGGTTGAACACTACTAGACGAGTTGATGATTTTGTTAAATTAGTTTAATAGTTGCTTGACTGGTTCAGTGATTGATTGAGTGGTTGATTTGTCAGAAAACATTTGGCAATAGGCTATTTTTTAAATGAATATTTGATTGGTAATTTATCTGATGTATTGAGTGATTACATAAATGGTTGATTGGTTGGACAGTATGTGAGTTGATAATTTTGTCTATTAGTTATATAATTGAGCAATCGGTTCAGTGATTGGTTTAATGTTTGATTTTTCAACCGTTTGGAAAAATATTTATTTTTTATATGATTAGTTGATTGGGAGAACCACCAGAATTTGGTTAGTTGACTAATTAAAAGTAAGGGTGGGGGGCTCGAGTCTGACACGAAGGCTTCTAAATAAGCATATTTCATTTTTGCCTGACTGTAAATTTGGGGATTTGTAATTTTCAAACAAATGCATAAAATAGTAAAATTTACAAAAAATAATTGAGCAAAAATCCTGGAAAATTATGTCATGTCAGCAACATTTGTAAATCACTGGTATCGAATTAGAAATAAATCATGTTTGGATTTTATTTGGGGGCAACTGCACCCCCAGCCCCCCCCCTTCAGTACAGGCAGTTCAGAGGTTTGTGTCTTCTCCGTCACCCCTATAATTAACAAAATACATGGCTTTCCCATCCTCTCACAACCTATCCACGATATGCGCGTATCGCTATTATAAAATGTCCATTTCATTTGATTATTATATTTTCATTTCTAACAAAATACATTAATAATAACGAAGACAATGTAAAATGTATACAAAACATAGTTACATTTGTAATAAAAAAATCTTCATAGTAATTTATTCATTTGAGGAAGACAAAAATTAAATTATAAATTTATAACTTTATATTTTGAGGAAATGGAGAGGTCCACTGAAAAGCAAAGCTTGTAAATTGTGGACCCCTCAGATAATAATGAGTGTGAAAAGAGTATTGAATACATAAACAATCAAAGAAGATTAGCATTTATTGAAACACGTAATGACTGAAAACAAGGAGACATAAACAATTACATTGATAAATATAGGGGCATGTAGAATGTATAGGGAATTTAATTCCTGTTTACTCTCCTTTTCTTGAATGGAAAATAATTGTCAAGTGATTTCATTCAGGTTCATATTATTATTATTTTTTTTTTGGCTTTAAAAAAAAAAAAAATTCCTTTACTGCTGATTTTTTGTCATGGGGGGGGGGGGGGGGCGAAAATGCTTTTCCACCCCCCCACCCCATTTTTTTTTGGGGGGAGCGACTGCCCTTCCCCTGCCCCCTCCCCCCCCCCCCCCCCAACTTATGGCGCCTATGGACAGGTGTATAGGCTTACATGTAGGTATATGGTCAGTTGGGGTAGGTGCACTTGATCAGCGGTCTGCGTGTGCTTATAACTAGACTAATTTGATAATTGCGTAAACATGCGTTACTTGTTATCGATCATCTGAGCTAGCCGACACAGTCGAGTCATACCTACCCAGGGATATGTGAGTTTAAACTCACATATCCCTGACCTACCGATCCGAGGGTCAATAAGCCGTGAAAAAAATTCTCATATCTTTGGTGTTTTCGAGATGACAAGTGAGGTTTTAAGGTAAGGTTTGTTTTGTTTTTTCCTTTGCCAACAAAAGCAGTAGATCTAGATAGATTTATAATCACATTACTATTCAGGGCTGTCAACCCTCCCTCCGATCCCACGCTCATTCTCCCGCCGTACGTACGTCCCACCACTCCCGTTCTCCCGCTTTCCCGCTTCGATGTAGACCGATGTTGACTTTAGACCTACTTTGACTTGTGGGCGGGAGCTTTGTCTTATAATATATGCCCGCGGGTCTTCAGGTCTTCAAAAAATATTCAGTTAATTTTTTAAAGCTTTCTGATAATACCCGAAAAGTTGAGCATGGCCATGGGAAAAGCAAACCTAGATCTAACGTTAGATCTAACTTTTTAGATCTAGATTTACATGCATGTAGTTAGACATATTCTAGGTCTAGAATCTAGCTATTGCAACAGTCGTGAGATGGGTCATATGCAAAGTTTAGCATGCCGCGCCAGCTCGCCTAGCTCAGGGAGGTGAGACTTTAAATGGAGATTTCGTCTCGAAAGAATTTCCCGAGGGAAAGATATTCAAGATTAACTTGGCTTAACAGCAAGTAATGTAACCCTCTTCAGCCATCAAATCCATCAACAGCCGCCCTTATCAGACCACAGATGCCCTCTGGCGATCCAAATGTTACGAAGTGTTACGCAACGCGGCCTGCTTCCCTAAGCTCTCCAAACACTTGGTCGTAAAAAAAGGCTTTGAAGCCATGCGAGTCACCGAGAAAATGACGTCATACTCATTGAAGATGTATATAGCTATAACAGACAAAAATACAAAATCGACAACTTATGGCACAAGGCAACCTGCTATTGGTTATCAAATGCTTTCGCTGTGCTCGGATAACTCTTCTGAAGACGTAGCCATCTGAACCAGCGAAATCGACCAAGGAAATCGTGAGTTAGAGTGAATGCAAGTTTCTCATCATCATCACGTTCTCTTCTAATTATTGACATTTTCCGAAAGTTTCCGAAATTTTTACATAGCTAGGAAGGTAGTCCATAAGTTTATCTCTTAAAATAACTAAATGAAACTGTGTTGTATAATTGCGCATTTGGTTTAATGAGGGTTAGAAGTTGTCAATTCATCACCACTTTTCACCCCGAGTACGGGCCGGCGACGCGAAAGCCGCCGTGCTCGCTGGGCTGTACATGCTGGATGTTGTTGGTGGAAACACACATAGCTGCATTTCTACCCTGGCCGTGTATTGAAAGTTGTGCTATTGATTCTCAACATTTCAAACACCACTGTACAAAACTCAACTGATTTCATTCAAAGGCAGTACTATAGTGACGATTGATGACACCTAAAGAGCATTAAAATACAATTTGTTCAACTTTCTGATGTTAGAAAGAATAATTTAAAAATTAAAATTGTGAGTCTACTGTCAAACTTGCCGATCAACCGCATCGGGATGATTATGTGCATTTGTACTGTATGTTGTGAGTGTATTGACTATTCATGTATTCAAATGCTGCCTATTTACATGGAGCGGCCTACGCATTCACGATGAAACCATTTAACCGTACATTCTGGTTCGCTGCAACGAATAAGATTTTCCGTTGATGGAATTTCACACGTGCATAACTTGTATTGGTCTCCAACTTCCCATACACCAGGCTCAAGAAAATCTTCCTCAAAATCAGTCAGAAAGTCTAAATCGTCGCCTACCAAATACTCTTCCCTACTGTACGCCGCCATTTTTGTCGATAGCAGCCGATGTGTATTTCCAACAATGCATTTCGCGAGCCCTATGTCACTCAGTTTCGGGAGTGAGATTTACGAGCTGTGCGGTCCGGGTGGGGGATTAACGGGATTATGATAGGGGGAAAAAAGACTCTCGGTGCAACGGACTGCTTCAAAGGGCCCTCTTAGATGCGGAATCCATTTATTACAAGCCCTGCCTAGCTCAAGGATCGAACGCAGTCTAGTAATTTCCTCGGTGGTTAATGTATACAGCCAGCTACACGTAGCAAGCATCGCCATCGGCGAAATAAAAATCATATTCTGCTGGACGAAATCTCGTCGGCTTGGAATAGCTTAGCAAGCCATTTGCACAGTCAGGGTAACAGGTCCACATCTACCATAGATTATTATCGATGATACTCGGAGACGCCAAGTTCGAAGATCGGCGATGCGTGACATTTTCATGATTCTCTTATTTTTGTTTGCCTGTTCCGTAAAGTAATTGGACGGTGATTGATGTATTCTTACTCTTAGTTGGATTATGTGTTAGAGAAATTGAAAGCATTGTTACTCCTGTTTTTATATCCTGCATGAAATGGCAGAATATAAAATGCATTAAAATATTTTCTTCTCTGTCTCTTTTTTTCCAGCGATCAAGAAGAACGAGAAGGTCTGCCGGAGTCTGAAGTGGTCATACAGGAGGGTCCAGACCACACCGCACCTCTGGCCACCCTAGCAACCACCTCCATGGAGGGGGACATTGGGCAGAAGAAACAAGGGGGCACCTTCCCCCACATGGCCCACTTCGAGGTCCCGGAGGACAAGCCTCCGGAATCGCAGAGCGACACCCTGAAAGCGAAAGGGACGCAAAGGCCTCAGCGCAAGAATGGAAGCCGAAAGAACAGAGGTAAAGGGGTTCCTGTAGTGGAAAAGGACACTGCTAAGGTTCTGGAGATGTACCTCAGAAGGCATCAGTCGCTCTCCCAAGGGACGGAAGCTCCAACAGAGGAGCCAGCGAAGGTGCAGAAGGAGCGTGGAGGTCAGTGTGGGGCATTATTTTGAGGAACAAAAACAAATGAAAATGAGAGATGATGCAGGAGCATTGAGTGATTGCTTGAATTAAAGGTATTACAAAGTTTTGGGAAATTTTGAAAATTGGGTGGAAAGTGATTCTTTACAATTTTGATATATTTGGATGCCCCTGTGGATGTATTATAAGCACGAGAAAATTTAGCCCCTAAAACACTTCTGCTTTTGAGAAAAATTGAATATACAAATTTACCGGCGCTCCCGGTAAATTTTGGTAAATTTCAAATAGAGCCTACGGCCGTACAATGGTAGCTGCGACCATGAAAATTTCAGAATATGTAGTTGTGATATAGAATTTCCAAACGGGAATAGCTAATCGGTCGATTTTAGTCAAGAAACATTGTTTATAGCTTCATTAATATCTTGACCTTGAGAGGAAGCTATACAACATAAAGAGTGTATTATTTACAATTTTATAACTTTAGACTCGATTTCAACTGGGACAACGATCACCGGATATTGTCGCATAATTATGCTTCCAATATGTTCATTTGAACCAAATTCATGACCCCATACCAAAACTTTGTATTACCTTTAATTGTCTTGAACATTTTTTTGATAGCATGGTCAAACACAAGTGCCAAATGAACCTAACGTTGCCAAAAACAACCTGTGGTCTGTATACAATTTTGTGAGACCAGCTTTTAATCAACACGTAGTTTTGTCTTAAATAAGAATGTTATTCTATGATATATTTTATCAAAATGAAAGGATCAGTTTTGTGATGATTTAAAGACTCCCCCCCCCCCCCCCCCACCCTAAAAAAAAAACAAAAAAACTTCGAATTTGCTTTAAAAGCGATATGATCTTTTCTTTTCTTTGCTATTTGTAGATAATCAAGCAGAGCGGGAGGAATACTTCAAGCGCATCGCTGACAGGCTTGCCAGGATCGGAGACCAGGCGTTGGAGGACTATGACACATGCGACATAGAAACCTTAACCTTTGTTGCGGAAGGACCGGCTCGGGATGTCAGCATTGGTGGTGAGTCTATTTTATTTAGCCCTAAAATTGTAAGACATACAAGGGCGTGTGCCACTCTAATCGGTCACTTTTTCACAAACAAATCTGTAAACATGGGTCCGTTTGTCAAAATTTCCAAAAATTGCATGGCAAAAACCCACAAATTATGAAAAAGGGCTTTACTTCAAGAAAAATCCCCCCAAATGACCCTTATAAATAGGATGGGGGCACAAGGCTTGAGCTGCACACCCCATCCAAACCAAATCTGAGTATCCCCCCCCCCCCCCCCAGGATTTTGTGGCATTGTCTTATGACATATAGCATTGGGAAATTCGAAAGGAAAAAAAGCATTGGAGTTCTTAAATTCTCAAGATCTTTAACAGTTGAAAATATATGCTATTTGATGCAGTGTCTATCCATGTACCTGTATATTCCTTCCAGATAAATGATATTTTATGTTGAACAATTTGCCACGAGGTCAATACAATTGTTGCCATTTTTAAGAAAAAAACCTAATTAAATTTACTGTTATAACTTAAACGTTTCCCGCAATATAAACTACTTATTGTGCTCTTCTCTTTGCTTTCATGCAGCTAACTATGAGGAGATAGGCAAAAAAATCCAGACTGATTTAGATGACATGCATTTGGTGGTAAGCAAACAATATTGATCACATTTACCCTGTGAAAAAGCGACTTACCTCTGGAAAGCTCTAAATTAGCTATGGAAATCTTTGAAAGGAGTTTCCCTTTTTCTGTGGACCAAAAAAAAAAGGAAATGCAGCATTGAGGGAAGGAGGTAAGGAGGGAGGGAGGGAGAGCCCCCATTACACAATACTATAGATTGCATAGATTCCTAAACACCCTTTCATAAAAGCTACTTAAATCACTGTATTGAGCAGATATGTCATAGTTCTTTGGCAGTTGTTATTGATAAATATGTTTTATAAAACAGATCCCAGATCGGAGCTCTCTTGAAGTAATGATTTCACTTTCTCTAAGGGCCAGGCCTCATAAAAACCTGATTTAAATCGTTTTCCTGATTTTTTTCTTCTTCTTCCCGATTACCGGTAAAAAAAAAAAAAAAAAAAAAAAATCCAGATTTTTTTTTTTTTTTTTTCTTCTTCCCTATTTTATACCGATCCCTGATTTCCCCCTTATTTTCTCTATTCATCCCTATTTTGCCCTATTTTTTCCCAATTTTTCCTAATTTTCTTACTCGTAAAGGGGAGAATGTTGTTAGATGCCATTTTTCCCCGCGAATCCTCTTCTTTTTTTTTTTACTCAAGAGGGGCGTGGTTAAGGGGAAAACAAAAAACCTATTTTGTTTTTAGTGCTCACTATCACCCCTGAAGGGCACCGAAGTTCCTAGAAAAATGTTTCCATGTGAAATTGTCTGTTTTTGATCCTCCTCTTATTGCTACAGGACTTTACAAGCCAAGCCGCCATCCTCGACGGCGTGGCCAGGTATGTCATCAAGAAGGCCACCTACAAGTCATTCTGCAACGCCATTGAATTCATCGTCGGTCAAGACGTTGGCTTGTCGCAGCTCGCCATCGTCTTCAAGTTCACACAGGTTGCCTTCATGGCCGCCCCCTCCATGAGCCAGAATGCCAGCAGGATCAAGAATTACAGCGTCAGGTTCATCAGCGATCACTTCGCCGACTGGCTGGACAGCCAAGGAGGATGGGTAGGTCAAGGGGTCTTAACCCTTTTTATTGACATATATGCCAAACTTAATTTTGTAGCCGTCTTCCTAAGTCTGTTATATTTTCCTGGCCTGTTATATTTTCCTGGCCGGTTATATTTTCCCAGCTGGTGAAATGAATCTATTTTAATCAATGCATGTCGCCCTCTTGAGGACTGTATGTCACCGATTGCACACATTACACCATTACCGAGGGTCATTTTTTTTGTTCAATATTTTTTTTTCTTTCTTTGAATTATTTTCAGTAAAATTTTGATTGTCCCCGAAAAAAAATGAAAAAAATTTCTGGCAAAAAAAATACATATGAACAAATTTGACCCACATTCGGCCAAAAGCTCAATGAGTCAAATGTGTACCTCCCACACAGACGACGAACGTTCCGGTGCACTAGCGTAACACCAAGGTACCAGACTCGTTGATTTTTATGAAATAGGGGTTTATCGTATAAAACTGGGGAGAGTGTGAATGCAACACCGCTGTGCGTGCGTGACTTGTCAACTCTCTGTCTCTCTCCCCTCTTCTTCTCCCGAAAAAAGGAAAACAAATCAGGAAAATATATATGTATGTCTAGTAGATGTCATTGTCATCCCTCCGTCTAAGATGGGCGGGATCACCCTGCAATATGAATACTTGATTCCTTCACTAGCAGATCGATCATGAATATTTAGATCTGCACTTGCAGCGAGTTCATGTGCCATTAATTTGCTAAATTTCAGGAAAACTAAAGAATCCAGTGTCTCGTGACTCGTGAGAGATATAATGTAATCCCTACACACCTTTTTTCGTAAAAGATCGTCCATAATATCTAAATTCCCTTCAGTAAATTGCTGAAATCACGTAAAATGTGTCTTTTCCATCGCCGGAGCTGAGTCAAATTTGTAGGTAGAAATACGCACGGCTGTGAGCACGGTGTGTAAGCCTCATTGTCCGCTGTCTAAAGACTTTGCTTACGCACCTGCATAAATTATAGAGGTCGATGCGTAAGTTTATAAAAGCAATATTTATTGGATTGAAATTGGCCCTACTTTCTCGACAACCAATCAAATTATGTGTTACATCAGACGAAAGGGGATTATATACTCTATGTTTTGGCGGCCGAGACCACCCATTAACAAGTAGTAGTTGAGAGCATTATCTTCTTAAACTCACAACACCCAGTGAAAAAGGCGAATTTTCCTGTGACCTCCATAGAGAAATCACAAATTGAACGATTGTTGTCCATTTTTGAAGACGAAAAAGCCCTATTTTCCAGTCTATAAATCAGTTCGAAATTGGTATCAGTGGAAAGAACAGTATTTGAATATGTGATTTCCACCCAAGATGGTGTGTAATAAAAGTTTGTTTACCTCGTAGGAGCATTTCTTTGCACACTTAGCGCATTTTCAAAGACGATTTCACGTGTTGTAGACCGCAGAGCGAGACCGCGTGAGCAGATGCCCGAAATTTGTTCATATGGAACCCCCCGATCCCTCCCCCCCCCCCACCAAAAAAAAATCAAACCAAGACTATCTAATATAACAGTTATTGACTGGCAGGGGGTATATAACATTTTTTGGACCTGAAGGGAGTTATATTTTCCCTCGTGACCATATTTTCCCTCAGCGCTTTGGGAAAATATAACCACTTGGGAAATATAACTCCCTTCAGCAGTCCAAATAATGTTATATAACACCCCCTGCCAGTCAATAACTGTGTAATAATTCTGTGGGGACAAAGTGCGTGCCCTTGGGCGTTTTTTAGACCAAACATAAACATGTTCTTTGTCGTTCTAGAAACAAATATATAAGAAATGACAATGTGCCGTTTTTCTTCTCTTTTTCGTTTTGCTCTCCAGGGCTCTGTAGTGACGACTGATGATTCCGATTTTGAAGAAGAAAGAATGAGAAAGAAGGAAGAGCAAAGGAAGAAGGAAGAGCAAAGATCCCAAGCAATGATGAACAACAGATCGAAAGTGTATGTGCCACCCAGATTTATGCTGGCTAGTGACTTTGGAAATCTGAACAAATAACCACAAAAATGAAGGATATGGACTGCACATGCTCATTTGTAAAGTTATGCTATTGCCTAGTAATGATCCAATATATGGTGAGATAATTTTTCAATGTATATGTTACCCGAGTGTCTCCAATCCCAGGCCCCCCCCCCCGCCACTTCGGGGTCGGAGGGACCACATGCGTGTTCCCAAATGTCCAGTAAAGGGGTACTTTTCATGCACCAAAGTCCGGCTCGCACTACACAAAAATCTGGCCTGTATTAACTTTACACACCAGACTTGGGTGTTTTCGAAAAAAGGGAACATGCATACGCGTACCCTAAATAACACTGAGTGGGGGGGGGGGGGCGGGGCTCCAATCTCAAGTATTGGAGGGCTCTCAGAATGGTTAGGGGCACTGGGTGTACTGGTCAGGAATGGCAACCACTGTACGCAACTATATCAGTCTTTGCCCTAGATTTGTAGTAGCTAAGGATGCCAAACCACGTACTAGGACACTAATAAGACACTTATTGGCGTTTCGGCCATTAGAAGTTCTATAGTAGCCATTGATTTTGTCAAGATTGATATTAGGGGTGGGGTAAAATTGAAGATGTACTAATTGTCACCCAAGCAGTCCCATGTAGAGACCAACGAGCAAAAAAATAAAAAGTTATACATTTGAACGCTTGTTGTTAACTCCTCAACACTGACACCTGGGGGGGGGGGGGGGGGTTCACAAAGGTCCCAAGTCGAACTTAACTCTAAGTTAGACTTAAAGGTTATGGGGAGCAATTTGTAGCCTAAAAATAAAATATATTCAAAAGCAAAAAGTATTTTGGACTTTTCATAAATTCCACATCAAGAACATGAAATCTCTTTGATAATAGAAAATATAAATGATTTGAATCGACATTTTATGCCTTTTGAAATAACTTGTACAAAATATTTTCATAGATGCTAATGGCTTTCCATAATTGTTAAGTCTAACCTAGAGATAATTTTAATTTTGGATCTTTGTGACCCCCCCCCCCCCTCCCCCCCCCCCCCCCCCCCCCTGGTGTGACACCTCCCCATTTCAGGCTATTTAGCCTTTCCAAACTGTACATGGACTTCATAAAATGGAGAAAAAGCAAACTATTTGGTGCTGTCTATCCTAAATGAGATACATGTGCCCTCACCTCTAGAGGGCGGCCTTGAACTTTGGAGCCCAGCTGAGCTGCACGCCGAGATCCTCTCATGTGCAGGTAGAGATCAATATAGTTAGTGATTGTACACAAATGGCATTGTTGTAGACAAAGGGCAAATATTACTGTATTACTATAAAATTCATTAAAAAAATCCATGACCATCCCTTGGTCCACAATGTCGTTTTCCCACTCTCCCTCTTTATATCTGTAACATTTTAACTAAGTGCTGTCTTTAACTGCACCATTAGGTGCTAACTTTCATGAATATTTTGTGTTTCTGAAGTTTGTACTTAAATAAATTTGTCACTTCAGAAGGCCCCTTGAATGCCTATTGCATATTTTTTTATTATATGGCCTTGTATTTTGTATAACTTTTTAAAAGTTTGGTATCACTTTTGTCACTTTGGTATTCAACAAGTCTTGTAAATGAAACTAATGTTTCTTGTAACTAGGATAGAACAAAAGAAGAAAAGGTAGATATGATGTAAGAGAAATTCTAAGGTCACTTTGTTCATGAAATATGTGTGGAGGCGAACTGTATTAGAATAAATACTTTTTGAGAGTTTTCGTTGTTGAAATTTACTAATACTAATTTTAAAATGGTACTTTATTAACAGTCACCCATTGTTTTTCACTGGATAAAAATCAGTTATTTCTGAAATGAATGCATATATTTTCATTCATTGAAGTAATCTAAAAAGAAGTTTTGAGATTCTGTCTATTTTTAGGAAATTCAAGCAAGGGAGCTCTTCTATTGCATTTGATTGACTTTTTTTTGTTTTTTTGTCATACACTCTTTCAACACATGAAATACCGGGAAAGGTATTTTAATCATGTTACAGCAGTCAAATCAGATTTATTCGCTGGATGTTAATTTTTTTTCACCATTAGTTTAAAAGATAATGGTGAAAATAAGGGAACTAATTTCTTCTTAGGAATGCACACATATCCCATTAAAATTCAAATTTACCTTCAGGCCGACATTTTTTCTCGCTTAATCACAATCAATCAAAAATGATTTGTTGACTTTGACTTCTTAGTTGCTGCATTTATAGAGTACCGATCGCTGTGACATCATAAAAATCTATTTTTGGAATTTCTTCATTTTTTTCTTCATTTTCTGAAAGAGCATAATGTCCAAATGTGGAAAGACAATAGAATATGTTAAGTATTGGCTGAGATATGACCATCTGAATAATTAGATTTCCTATAGGAACTCGGAGTTATATTGCTCTGGCTCATAATGTTACGAACCAGAGCAATATAACACTAAGTTCCTATAGGAAATCTATTTATTCAGATGGTCATATCTCAGCCAATACTTAACATATTCAATAGGTTTTCAACATGTGGACATTATGCTCTTTCAGAAAATGAAGAAAAAAAATTGAGAAATTCCAAAAATAGATATTTTTTTTTAATGTCACACTTCACGCTCTATTGCAAAGCTGTTGTTATCAGTACGTTGCCCTCTCGATATCTCTCTCCCTGTCTTTGCCTCGATGCTCTCTCTCTCTCTTTCTCGTCTCCTTTTTCTCATGACACAGTAAATTGCAACGTTTTAACGTATCATGTGAACAAGCCTTTAAAGGCCCACTGCACTAGTTATAGCTACTTGCGCCCTCTATATAACAGACAATGCATAATCGGTGATCATTGGTCCCCCATGATCCTCTTTTTCTTATGTTATTTGAGAGCTGATTTGATGAGATAGCCACCTGGCCAGTGACCTTGCAGTGTGGTCTAATCCCTCCTCTACAATTGTACTGATGGGCTTTAAACATATCATTTGTGCAATGTGTCTGCATTCATACTGTCAATAACAAATAATGTCACATTTGACAAATGTCTGGCTATTGCTTTAACTCAATTATGTTTTCCATTTGAAATTTAGTTATGTAAAATATACAAACCATGTAGTGCAAAGACAGTGTTTGTAAATATTGTACAAGTGTAAAAATTTATGACAGCGATTGTTTTCTGTGTATATGTACAAAGTCACACGTATAAGCTTTCATGTAATTTTCAATGGTCTACCGTTTGTACCTTCATGTAGAAACAGGACAATTTATCAAACAAATTATGATTGATGATGATTTGTTTCTTTTTCTTGAAATAATTCTAGAGTACTTATGATCATAAAGTCACTAGTATTTATTCCTTTACTTGGTGAAAAAAGGAAATTACAAAATAGGTAATTTTGTAGTAAATGATTATCAAAGTAAAGTTATTTGACATTTCATGAATTTTAGTTTCCTTCGTTCTTTTGTTAAGGATTTCATGAAAGGAAGTGAAGTGCGGTGCAAAAAGATATTTGGTTGATGGTTATAGAACTGCTTGTTTGTTAAATATCAGCCAATATATTCATTTGTTACAGAGTTGTTTGATTGGTAATTACTTGATTGGTTGCAGGCGCGGATCCAGGATTTCTTGGGGGGGGGGGGGGGGGGCAAATTTGAAATCATGTGAGCCAAATATATATATACTAGATTCCCAGCTAGTACTGGTCAACCCCCAGGGCTCCCCTACGCAGGACCTAGGCCAAAAGTAGCTCCAACCTCGACACCAACAGCAAAAACAATCAGTCAAACACCATTCAATGAGATGCTCTACCGAGCGGAGATGTTGGAGGGGCAAACGCGTTATGTGTGTAATACTTGTAAGTCAACATTCCTACACTACAATTTCCTCATGAGCCATCTTGCAGAGCATAACCACCTGGCCTACACCTGCTTGCAGTGTGGATATGCAACTTACTCAGAGAAAGATTACCAGTTGCACTGTCAGCTTCATGACGGTCAGATCTCCAAGAAAATCAGAAGGGTAAGACCAAAGCCACCGGGATATTCTTCTAACTCCGACAAAGGAGCGGCACCTAGAGCTGTTGCAACCTGTCACATCTGTCAGCGGTCCTTTGTAAACATGAAGGGTCTAAAGGCACACATGGTCCTTCATTCTGCTAACTACAACAGCATATCAGAGAGGAGAAATGAGTCCAGGAAGATACCAAGAAGTATTCTTGTTCCTGTAACATGCTTTAGTGAGGTGACCCCTGAGCCTCTTTCTCTTGTGAAACCTACTGGAGAGCAGACCGAAGCCCTTGATCTAACTGTTAAACCAGTTGTTGATACTTCTGTTGATGAGGTGCTTGACTTGAGCATGGGTTCAAGGAGTTTTACAGACAGAGCAGAGAGTCCAGATGTAGAAAGTTCACTTGATATGACAGTTAAGAGCGATCCAGAGGAAAGTCAGGCTGTAAGTTTGCCAGATGTGTGCCAAGTCGTGCAGCAGCTTGATGTCCCAGAAGAACCTACTTCATCCCCCATCCCACTAATATCGGGAAAGCTTACACATGTCAGAAAGCCCAAGAACAGCATCAGACTTGTAGGAGCCATTGATGTCGATGTGGCTAGCTTGGAAAACAAATACAGTGTTGTCACAGATTTGATGGATACTGACAGTGATATTTCACCAGATGTTCCTACATCAGCTGGTCAAGAATCTCCGGCGAGGAGTGGGGAAGGAGAAGGTGAGCTCGGTGGTAAATCACCCAAGAAGGCAAGAAATTACAAGTGTTCGATGTGCCAGTATGCCACTGACTTCAAAGACTCGATGGAACGACATGAAACGAAGCATCGCAAGTTCCGCACCTTGGCTTGTCATGCCTGCAGTTACAGGACACCAGAAAAGAGACTCATGTTAAGGCATGTACTCACCATTCACGAAAAGCAGAAGCCATACAAATGCAAGCTGTGCAACTATTCTTCTGCTTATAAGCATCACCTGAAGCGCCATCACACCAAACGTCACCAACGACCTCTTTTGACCTGTAACCTTTGTGAGTTTACCACTGATGAAGCCTCAAAGCTGAAGAGTCACAGCGTTTCACACCCAGAACCTAAAGTCTATCAGTGTAAGCTTTGTCCTATGGTGTTCAACAGCAGTAAGCTCTTTAAAGCTCACAAGCAGATTGTTCACCACAAGAAGAAGAAAAGCAAGAAATCCAGCCGTGACAAAAGCCATTCTTCATCTAGTGTCATTGAATCATCTGAGTCGATGACGGAAGGAAAAGAAATTGAAAGTCTTGCCAGTTCAGAAGAGCCTTCAGAGCCAGTTGTCCTCAAGCATCCTTGTAACCTGTGCAAGTATCAGACGGATGATCAGAATGAACTGACCATACATCTTAGGAAAATACATTTTAGCAGTCAGATCAAGGAGGTCTTGGGGGATGTTTGCTCCACAGCGCAGTGTCCGCAGTGTGGTTACCTGACTGGGAAAGAGCAGATGAAAGCTCACATGCAGATACACGACAGTGGGGAGTTCTTCAACTGCGACCAATGCCTCTTCAAAGCTGGCAGCCAGGGAGAAGTGGATGAGCATGTGCAGCAGAAGCACAAGGTCAAACTGGCCCCCACCCAGATATGCAAGATGTGCAACATGCGCTTCTGGAACGCAGAAGATTTGAAGCAGCACACGGAGATGCATCTCAAGGATACAACCATCTCTGTCAAGAATCCATTCCTTTGCAACATGTGTCCTTTGAAGCTGATGAATCGACGCGATGCCTTGAGGCACCTCCAGCTCCACACGGATCGCTACCCCTTCAAGTGTCGCCACTGTGTCTTTTCCTGCTTCACCAAGGCGTCCATTCAACGCCACCTCTCCATCCATCGCCATGCCAGCAAACCCAAATCCCTGACAGCCATCCGAAAGAACGGTCGGAAGAGTCACTCTGTGGGTGCAAGTGGAAGCTCTGGCAGTGAGAGCGATGTCCAGAAGAGCCAGAGGAAGAGTCAGAGCAGTAAGTCCTCCACCTTTGGTCCTGTAGCTAATCGCTTGCCCATTTACCAGTGTCAGTTTTGTAGTCATAGTTTTAGGGTAGCTGAAGAATGGCAACGTCATGAAAGAAGACACCGCATGATTTGGCCTGAATAAGTTAATTCATCTTATTCTCATACATTTTTTCTTAATTTTTAAAGGGCATTATTTCAGAGAGATATTTTTATATTTTGTCTTATTTCTTATGTACACATGTATTTACATTATAAATGTTTATTCTCAGCAGTCTTTTATTTGCCATATGTTTCTTATCACTGAATGGGTATACTTATTATACTTCTGCTTTAAATCATATGGGTTGCTTGCAAGAAGGCGGTAATTAACTTCAAGTTTGTCTTTCAGAGAGATGTATATATATATATATATATATATATATATATATATATATATATATATATTTAATAATAAAATATTATTTAGAGGGACTAGAGAATTTAACATCATTCAGCATCTAATTATATTTATATTAAAAAAATACTATAATAATTGTGTTTTTGTACAAAATTCAAGCTTGGGGTTTATGTTCATATGTTATTATGTTTCCATGTCATGGTTATCTAATAGTGTCACTTTACACTGCTCATATTTCGAGGTGCAACATACATGTATTTTTTTCACTTTCATTCTATAACAGTTTTTCATTCTATCTACCCCATCCCCCTTTTTTCTTCTCTTCCTTTTTTATATCTCCCTCTACAGCTACATGTTAAAGTAGCTTTAAATTGATCAGCGGAAGGAGATTTATATGAATACATCCAGTCTGTAATGTTGGACCTGGCTGATGCTGATAAGGGGGTATCCTAGCCATACACATATTTGTTGCAAAACGTCTTGTGTTGTTGTAGCATAGATATGAAACAAAGAATGGTGAAATCCCATGGATGCATGATGCCTGAGAGAGAACCAAAAGACAGTAATTGTTTTATTTGCTAAGAGTTTTTCTCAGGACTCCATGGGTCTTTGATATTGGGTAATCAAGAAGAATTTGGACAACCTCTCTGTGATTCTGTTAAGATTTTCCATTCACGTTACAAATGCTGGCGTAGCAGGAATTTACTTACAATTATTTTGTCCGGTCTTGTAATATGCACAGGGGAATTCAAAAGGATGTTTGAAGACACCTCTTTAACCCTGTAAACAAGGAGTCTACATTCCATTTCCCTTATTTTCAATGGAGAATCTATGAAATGAAATAGCATTTCAAGTAGAATTAATCTTTTGTCAAAAGATTATTGTGCAGTTGGGCCTACACCGTACCTACCAGTTTTTCATGTTGAATGGAACTACATGTATATTGACAGACTTGCACAAGGTTGTACTTATCACCTGCTTGGAGCGAGAAGGGCATTAAAGTCCACAACGTTTGACACAAATTTAACGCCATTCTGGCTCCGAACAGATAATATACTGTAAATATGTGAAGATGAACGGGACTGGGATGGGGTATGCATCCTTCATTGTCTTTAGTGGCATGTCTTGTTGCAAAATATGTGCTTCCTTTCGTTGTACAGCTCTGTTTCATAGACACTGTTCTTCTTTCTTTGTGTTTGTGTCACCGCTAGTTTTTTCTTTGTCCATATCCTTGACAAAAGAAGTCCTCCTTTCGTTGTATAGCTTTCTGTCATATTCACAGTTAACCAACCTAAACAAGTTGTTTCACTGCATTTTTTCCACCATATTCTTCTCAAAGGAAGTCCTTGTTATGGATCTTCCTTGTGCCTAAGCCTTTTTCAGAATATTTGTCATTTCATCATTCTTAATTCTTGTTTTGTACCCTCAGCTTCATTGGACATTCAGTGTGATTCACATGGCTTCAATACATTTCATTGCATTTCACTAACCATTAGTTTGTAGAGTTGTTACTGCCACCCTGCTTTAAAAAGAATAAGTTCATTTTGTTAATAAGTGAACTGAACTTAGGCACGTGTGGGAAAGAATTCTTCCCCTGTGCTTAATTTTTCATTTTTAAAGAATTTCCATTTTATTATCCTCTGATTTAGACAGATATTGTTAATTTGATGACAGGAATACATTATTTTTCTCTTTCGAACACTTTGCTGTTACAAGGAAATTCAAGTAATGTTGTATGAAAGCAAAATGGCTTCCGATGAGTGAAACCATTCAAAATGTTATGAATGTACAACCTGTGAGTTAAGATAAGATAAGATATAAAGTACATGTATATATTTATTTACTGTAATAGAACTTCCATGTTGATGTTTTCAGTCATTTTCATGTCCTCTTTTCACCCAGTAATTTTTCATGGGTGCCATCTTCCATCAATGCATGTATCACGTCATGTTTGAAAAATGTAAATAACACCTCCTTATCATTCCATTCTGACTGCTGCATGTTAACCTTGGGACATTTTACCCTACAATAAAAAACATGTTTATCTGATGTTTGTAATGGCTTCAGTAACAGTTATGGCCGTACACTTATTTGCAATCGCTTTTACTGTTTCTTTGCTTCATGTGCTTGCCAAGATATTCCTGTGCTTTGATTGATTCAATCAATACCCCTCCCCATATTTTCAAGCTTTGAAAGTACTTAAGTTTTTTTTTAAATTGATGTCTCTGTTTTGTTATTTCATGATAAAATCTGTAAGTTTATTGTAAATATGTACATAAAATGATCTGATTTTGTGTTTAGTTATCCAAGAAATTGTGCCTTGAAACTCAGATTGAGATAGAAAGATAAAGGGTTTGGGTGATATTATTTTCATTGTTAAAATAAAATGGGTAATTTTCAGTCTTGCCATAACTTTTTTTAATTTTGTTCTGTATGAGACAATTCATCTGCCACCAAAGCTTTATTTTTGTTGATATTATTATGTGAGAAATTTTGTATGCTAGATATCACATCATTAAGCCAACCATTACCCATTTTCCCAAATCAGTCATTCAAGAGGGGAACAATTTTTATTACATGATCTTCTGAATAATTTACTTCCACTGTAATGGAATGAATGAAAAATACACTAGCTTTTGATGTTAAGAATATGTTGTCAACTTGGTCATTAAAATATGCATATATATTTACATACAAGTAAAAGTATTTGAGTACTACATAATAAAGTATCAGAACAACAATTTATATTGCCCCCCAATGGCCATGAATTGGTTGGTTTGGTGTCGAAGTTGAGTTAATTAGGTGGTGCGACTCTGATATTTGGAGTTCATTACCTGCATACCGTATGCATTGGCTTCCAAATGTCTGCATGTAAATGTAATTGTATCAATTTGGTAAAAAGTATATAATAAACACTAGCAGGACGGAAATCCGCGGGATTTTAGAGGGGGGCGGGGGTGTAAATAGATATATAGAGAGTGTTTAAATTAAAACCACCAAGAACTTTATTTGCCATTCAGGCCATTTAAAAAATATACATGTTTAGCGTCCCCGCCCGCTTCCTTTTTGGGGGCCGCCTCCTATTTATTTATTTTTTGAAATTTTTTTGATTTTTTTTTTTTTGAAAGAAAATAAAACAGCGTCCTGTCCGCTTCCTTTATGGGGGCCGCCTCCTATATTTATTTTTTTTTTAATTTTTTTTTAATTTTTAATTTTTTTTGAATTTTGAATTTTTTATTTTTTGAAAGAAAAAAAAACATGAAAAAAAAAAAATTGTCGGCCGCCATCTTGAAAAATAGCCCGAATGTCATGGGAAAATGTACGGAGTGGCCATTTTGAAAGGAAAAAAAAAAAAAAGGGCCTCCTCCTTCCCATTTATCGAAAAAAACAGGATGCTAAACATGTTTTTTTTTTAATTTGGCCTTATATAAAAATTTAAAAAACGATCCAACTGTACCGGTAGTTATTCTTTAAGCTTTAAGTTCCGTAGTGTGGCGTACCGAATACGCAGAAATTAGGCTGCGTATTAATGGGAAAATAGTCCCTGCGTAGGTTATGCGTAGGCTGGCGTACAGGTTTGCTTATGGTTGCTTACTGTGTGGAAAGCTTTTACTGCTTTGTCGATCTGGCGTAGGGTAGCGTACTGCTGCGTAGTCATGTAGCGTAGTGTTGCGTAAAAAGGCGTACTTTCTGCGTCAAGTTTCTATGCCGAAAGTACGCGAAAAAAAATTAAACATGTTGAATTGTTTTCGTTCATCTTGCATACCCCTTTCCGTCCCTCAGCATATAGTAACGAAGGCCAGCGTAGTTGGTACGCAACACTACGCAACTCTACGTATTAACCCCACGCCAATTAGTGACCCGCAAGTGTCACAAATAAAGTATGAAAAAAAATATGCTCATCTGACCCTAATTAAACACCTAAAACCCCCGAGCTTTCGGGGGTTTATGGCCCCTTGAAAACTGTGGACCCCACGCCTATATTATATATACACTCAACTCGCTGCGATCTGATCTCTCTCCCCCCCCCCCCCTAACTTTGAAGAACGTAACCCCCGAGCTTTTGGGGGTTTATGCTGGCCCCTTGAAACCCGTGGACCCCACGCCTATATTATATATACACGCAACTCGCTGCGATCTGACCCCCCCCCCCCAACTTTGAAGAACGTAACCCTGAGCTTTTGGGGGTTTATGCTGGCCCCTTGAAACCCGTGGACTCCACGCCTATATTATATATACACTCAACTCAGGACCCGCGGAAATCCGCAGGATTCTAAAGGGGGGCGCAGGCAAAAAATTAAGTTTTTCATTTCGGGGGCTCCATTTCAAATTTTTGGGAAATTTTCGGGGGCTACTTTTTCAACTTTCGGGGGCTCTTTCTTCTGGGGCTCCTTTTTCATTAATTCATAAAAGGATAGGCCTACACTTTGTTGAGATTTGTTTAGTAGGCTATAAGGTTTCAGGCTTCCTACTTCATAATTGCCTATTTAAAAAAAAACAAAAAACATTTTTCTAGTTCAATAACTAAGTTTTCATGCATTGATTTGATGCAAGAACTGTAACATAATAGACCCTAGATTGTGATTATTTCCGACCATGAATTTCGATAATCATTTTTCAAAGTAAAATTTTCACAAGAAAATCAGACAGTCGTTTAAAAACGTAGACATTAGTAATACTTTTACTATTTGTAAGCTCAGGTTTCGTAAATCTATTCACAAAACTATATTGAAATCGCGGCAATAATGATGCAAATCCAACAGATAACAATTTCAAAGTGTCAAATCAGCTCAGCTGAACTCACACACACTACAGCGTAACTCCATGAGCTCGAACACCGGCGCCGCAGGCGTCGGACGCCTGCGGTGCGCGGTGCTGGTGTTGAAGCTTCCTGCAAGCTCATGTCAACTCACACACACTGCACAGCAGCATTGCACTGTTTTGACTGAAGGCAGCTTGCGACTCAACTGTCAGTCCAATGGTTTTCTTGTAATAACTTTCCTTTAGAAAATGATGATCAAAATTTAGTATACATGTCCGTAATAATCACAAAATAAGCTTTGATTTTATACCTCCATTCACAAAAACTATATCAAAATCGCGGCAATCATGATGGAAATAGGTCTCTAAGTTTGGACGTCGACGGGATTGCTCGTCGTGTGTCGTGTGTCTATTTGATACGGATGTAATGTTGAATATGCATGAGGTATCTCTGTCGTCACGCATATCCTGCATTATGCATGTCGCGTCTGTTTTCGCCCTGGACGTCGACACGGAGGAGGACCTCGGGCGGAGTATAGCCAATTCGCTAGAGTAGACTCTCCCGCGGACGACGGCACCGGTCACCGGTACCCCGAGGGGAGGGTTCAGGAGGAGATAGCCGCACCAACTTGGGTCGGCGATCTCATTAAAAAACAATAGAATACAAAGGCTCGCCGAGACGTCGCGCCCCCCGCGGAGCCTTAGCGTATTATTATTATAGATTTATTTTATTTTATTTTATTTCTGCATTTTTTTCAAATAAGATATAACTAAATAACAAAGAACATAATATACATGTCAAAATGTTTTTTTTTTTTTACATAATATATGTACATATAATAACAAAACTTATTATTTCCATAACAATTTTATCATAAATTTAAAGTATTATCCGAACTATTCTGTTGGAAAAGTGCAGGAGACCGCAATCATAAGCAAAGCTTGACAAGGATGGCGGCCTAAAAAAAAAAAAAAAATCATGTGAGCCAAATATTGGTACGTAGTGGTGACTAGATTTAATTGGTTAAATATTTGCCTGGTTGAGCTATTGTTTGTTAGTTAACTAGTTGAATGATTGGTTGAGTAGTTTATTTGTTAGTCGGCCTATATAGATATATTGGTTAAATGAATAACTAGTGATTGGTTACTGGTGGAATGGTTAATCGAGGTGTTGTGGACTAGTGGATAAGCCACCCGACTGCAGATCACAAGGTACGGGGTTCAAGTCCCGATGCGGCTCTAATGTCCTTTAGCAAAGACGTTAATCTACATTTGCACTCTCCAGCGCTAGTTACTTTGGTAGATCGGCTATAACCAGGGTGATATGTGTAAAGCGCCCATTAGTGTCAGAGAATGACGGATACCGGTGCTATATAAATAACCGTATTATTTATACAAAAGTGAGCACACACACACACACACACACACACACACACATTTGGGTAGCCTTTCATCGGATATTGATTGATAAATTAGACCTATAATATAATAATTTTTATCTTTGTTTAATACCGGCAAACGTTAATGTCATGTCATAATCATACTGGCTATAACCTGTTCCATGTTGTCTCAATTTTGAACGGGGTGACGTTAGATAAAAAGCCAGAAGTTCATTTTTTTCTTTGCACAATACTTAAATGTTATTTATGCCTTTGGTTGAGCATATAGAAAGTAAAACCATCCGGTGTTTGATTTATCCCTCTCTACAATTCATTCCACTGATAACGACATTTTATTTCTTCTCGAAATGAAAGAGTTCAATACTTTGTTTGACTAGTTGTAAAGAGATAAGCCATGAAGTCTCTTTTACTTCGTAAATTTTGTTTTGTCACAAACTGAATAACAAAGAGGATTCATGGAGTTTACACACGCACAATGGTACACCCTTCAATACTTCACGCGATGCAAAAACAGGCGCCACATTATCAAAAGGGGAATTCCAAAAGAATTTAACTCTAAGAATACCAGGCAGAATAATGTACGGGATTTACGTGTACAGTGTCTGTATAAAAGTGCTGTAATGGCACAGTATGGGTTATGATCGCAAAATTGTGCATGAAATCACATCCAAGCATGAAAAAACACAATTGATCTACAGTAGACTAATTGAAAGGTGTTTTGCACTATTTCCAAACAATGTACATATTTGCCTTTCATGATGGAATCATAGATAATAAAGTACGGTAACCTTTTACTGAGATGCAACATACATCAAGTAAGCTGGGTAATAAATAAGTTCAGAAGGCTTTAATTTGCTTAATATTGACATTGGTATTTGACGAAGGGAAAAGACGTTCTTCACTGTGAACAGGTCAAAATTCAAAAGCATTTGCAACAATCGGCCTATTTACTACAATACTTAGCAGTGTTGAGCACAAAACTTTCCAAAGTGAATGTATGTAACCATATTGACCATTGAAGTTGAAGAAGATGACTAATGCAATAGTGTTTAAAGTGATTAAAATTGTCCATGAATTTTCACACGAGTCTGTTACATTGTGTGTAATATATGCATTAACAATTTTAATCGAGGCAATGCCGTGATAACCTCAATGTCATATCATATGAAATTAATGTACCGGCAGGCGCGTACGCCGGGGGGGGGGGGTTAAACCCCCCCCTTTGGTTTTTTTAATGTGTGTATTTAAAAAAAAAAATTATGCCAAATTATTAAAATTATGCCAATGGCTGACCTAAAACAAGTGCCCTTACCCCCCCCCCCCCCTTACGGAGCAAAATGTCAAATTTTCAAACTTCGAGACTCCCCCCCCCCTCCCCCCAAAGAAAAATGTCCTCTTACCCCCCCCCCCCCCCCCCCCCCCCCCCTCTTGAAAAAAAAACCTGCGTACGCCACTGGGTACCGGAATATAATCTTGCAGCTCAATGGCTGCAAGAAGCCTGGGTGCATGGAGTGGGTGCAGACGTCGAATTATATCGATAGAAAACACATATTCAGTCAGGGAAGGAATATCTTTCTTCCACCGTAATCTATTTAATCGTGTCTACAATGGTACCGAGTTTTACGGGTCAAACAAGAAATGCGTTCATGAGTTTTTACCTGTAGCTTTAAATAGAATCTTCCCACTAAATGCAAAGTCCCGAGCAATTTTGTTGGCCTTTCCGTCCGAGGGGAAGGGGGGGGGGGGGAGAGCCTGTTTTGATCCTTTCTGCCTTCTCAGTTCGATATTTAACTGTGCATCGCGGTAAATAGGGATACATAATTGACAAATTCATGTGTACCTCAATCCGGCGAAGCAGGTTAATGTTTTGAGAAAAGCCTTCTAGGTGGCCTAGACTGGGACTGAGAAGTAATGCCTTACTTAAGGGCACTTCTACACCGCGTTGGCTTCTTTTTAACAGGGACTTGCATAAATAAGACAATAGGCATGCACCCTCCATGTGCTACAATGCAACGGATAAATACGGTTGACTTGAAATAATTCACCATCATTATCTTCAACTCCATTATATGACGGCCATAACCATTTAAATACTGTATGCTCCATCATCGTCATCGTAGTTATCATATCAGTCCGATATCAGTCGGACATTTGTCCCAAGCTTCACTGCATTTCTATTACCAACCATATACTTAGTGCCATAATCAGCGTTAATATTTGCTTTGTTCATGAGTAATTAAATTATCAAAGGTTAGGAATCAGTGTCTTCCACGCATAGTAAGTAATTTAATTTCGAGATACGTCATTAGGCGGCAAATGCTCCTTTACTACAAATTGTGTCATGAAACATGTAAAACATGGAATGTTTCTCCTTAATTAGGCTTGACGATATCCCTCCTTGAAAATGTTTCTTCGTAGTTACACGTAAATGTATGTCTCAATGAAAGAGACGAACAGCTAGAACAAACGTTTCCACCCTTTATTTAAGAGTGAATGGGAAGGAAACTTTGTTTTTTTAAAAATGCACACGCTTTATATTTATTGAAACGTTGATGATTGCCACAAAATATAAAAATAAAAGAGGAAGAAAGAGCGAGGTTAACAGTGGAATAGGAATAACAGATATTTGAATAAGGATTTAGTTCACTGCACAGGACTTTGGAACTTGTTGAAAACGATATAAAAAACAACTTTACATTGCGAGAAAAAACAAACCAGTGTGGTGTAAGATTATGCTTGTAACATGCAAAATGCAACGGGATCATCTGCTACACAAGTTTTAGATTGCTAATCGTAACATTTCGAAGTCAAGCGTTAAGAGAGAAGAAGATAATTACAAGGAACTATGCTAGATTAGGGTGTCTGGTAAACAGGTGGTTCTTCAAGTATGGAGTACAGAAATCAACATCTTCATGAGGCAGGATTGAGGGGTAAAATCAAAAGCTTTACAAATCTGCTAAAGAAGGGTTATAACAAATACCGGACATACAAAGTTGGAAACACACGTTTACATAATACGGTAAAGAAACGCCATAGAACCGTCATTGAGTATCCCATGAACCAAGGTGCTGAGATAGAGAAGGGTGATAATGACGGATGGACTGCATTACACAGTGCTGCTTTCAATGGTCATCTTGATGTCACCATATCTCTCATCAGTCAAGGAGCTGATGTGAATAAAGGAGATAATGAAGGTGTGACTGCCCTACACAAGGCTGCTCAAGAGGGTCATCTTGATGTCATCAAATATCTCATCAGTCAAGGAGCTGATGTGAATAAGGGAGATAATGACGGTTGGACTGCATTACACAGTGCTGCCCTAGGGGGTCATCTTGATGTCATGACATATCTCATCAGTCAAGGTGCTGAGAAAGAGAAGGGAGATAATGACGGTTTGACTGCATTACACAGTGCTGCTTTCAAAGGTCATCTTGATGTCATGAAATATCTCATCAGTCAAGGAGCTGATGTGAATAAGGGAAATAATGACGATTGGACTGCATTACACAGTGCTGCTCATGGGGGTCATCTTGATGTCATGAAATATCTTATCAGTCAAGGAGTTGAGGTGAATAAGGGAGATAATGACGGTTGGACTGCATTACACAGTGCTGCTCAAGAGGGTCATCTTGATGTCATGAAATATCTCATCAGTCAAGGTGCTGAGATAGAGAAGGGAGATAATGACGGTTTGACTGCATTACACAGTGCTGCTTTCAAAGGTCATCTTGATGTCATGAAATATCTCATCAGTCAAGGAGCTGATGTGAATAAGGGAAATAATGACGATTGGACTGCATTACACAGTGCTGCTCATGGGGGTCATCTTGATGTCATGAAATATCTTATCAGTCAAGGAGCTGAGGTGAATAAGGGAGATAATGACGGTTGGACTGCATTACACAGTGCTGCTCAAGAGGGTCATCTTGATGTCATGAAATATCTCATCATCGGTCAAGGTGCTGAGATAGAGAAGGGAGATAATGACATTTGGACTGCATTACACAGCGCTGCTTTCAAAGGTCATCTTGATGTCATGAAATATCTCATCAGTCAAGGAGCTGATGTGAATAAGGGAAATAATGACGGTTGGACTGCATTACACAGTGCTGCTCATGGGGGTCATCTTGATGTCATGAAATATCTTATCAGTCAAGGAGTTGAGGTGAATAAGGGAGATAATGACGGTTGGACTGCATTACACAGTGCTGCTCAAGGGGGTCATCCTGATGTCATGGAATTTCTCATCAGTCAAGAAGCTGATGTGAATGAGGGAGATAATGACGGCAGGACTGCATTACACATTGCTTCCCAGAAGGGTCATCTTGATGTCACTAAATATCTCATCACCCAAGAAGCTGAGGTGAATAAAGGAGATAACGATTGTTTGACTCCTCTACACCATGCTGTTCAAAATGGTAATATTGATGTCGTTCAAGTCCTTCTGGCAGGAGGAGCACGTTCTGACACAGAAGACATTCACGGGCACACACCTCTACAACTGTGTTCATCACTCGGGTACCAAAGCATCGCTGATCTATTCATCGACCGTTCAAATTACAAGGTAAAAATAATAAAAAATACTTTATGTCGAATCTACCTTGATGTATTTGATACATGCATGTATAGTAACAAAAATTGAAATTCAATTAAGCGAATATCAGTCATAGGCTACCTACCATTATTTGTTTAGACCGGATCAATTCGATTTTGTTAAGCTAATAATAACCATACATAATAGACTTCAATGCTGTTTTGTATGTACTTTATAGAAAAGTTACGATGTTTGTGTAAAATGAATTCGAATTATTGGTTTAATTGATCACATATGGCAGTACTTGTGTTCACAGAAATTTGGATTTCCTAGCATTACCAAAATAAAATCTCAAGCTCTCATGCTGCGTATTTTCTCATTTCCAGCTCGCCCAGAATGATTTAACTGATATCCATCTTGCCATACAACACGGTAACACGTCCATCATTGAGAAGTTAGTTTCTGAGGGAGCTGATCTCAATGTCCAGTCAACTGACGGCCAGACGTGTCTGCATGAAGCCATTAGACTCTGCTATAAGAGCGTGAACACCGTGCAAAAAACTGACTCTCTAAGAAAGGTGAGTCATACCAAAAAAACTGAAAAATAGGTAGAACGTACGCTCATCTTAATGCCTAGATTACATTTGCCCCGGGCGCCGTACGATAAATTAGTCTACGATATTTGGTGCGATTTTTGGGGCATCGTAGGAGGCTACGGGCTACGATGTTTATGTTTACATTATCTAAAAGCATCGTGGGATTTCTTGTATAGGCCCTCGGGGGCAGGCCGGGGCAAATCTGTACAGAGGATGCTTGAAGATTGTACGGAAATAGTGCAATTTCAGTGCAGTCTCCGCAGCCTCCGCACGGAAATCGTACGAAAACCCGATTGCTTTACGAAAAGTATGTTGTTTCTTTTCAAGTGTATTTTGTTTAAAGGGACTTTTTTAATAGCAATCTTCCCTTTCTTTGGAACTATACCTTGGATAATTGATTCGTTAATCAGATAGCTTATTGGTCGAATGATTTCATTTATGGACATCTAAAAAAGAAAAAAAATATTCCGTCCAAACCTACTGATTTCTTATTTGTAGTTGTTATATTTCTTTCAAAATACCGCATTCACTTACAGTAGAAAGTTGTAACGGACATTCCACTCCGGTATCACTACTCTCAGAAAATGTAGTCTCAATTACTGTTATTAGTGAATCCAAGAATCTGATATCCGTGATTGGCCCAAGAAATATGTATGTTGGTATTTGGGCGAGTGTTTGTGTGTGTTGGAAATCTACAATAAAAATACAGATTTCAACTGATGTAATTCTAAGAGGCAGCGTCAGTATGCGTGTGATGCTTCATCCATCCTGACTATTGATGCGTGATACTGTTTTAATAACAAAAGTATATACAAAATTATGTTTGTATGTTTTAGATCTCTGATGAGTATTACAAGGGCGAACTATCTCCTGAGAAGGCCTTGGTGTTCTATCTCCTAGAGAATGGAGCAAAGTCAGATGTGAGGGACACGGCAGGCAAACTACCAATCCAATATGCCAAGGACGAAGTGATCAAACAAATGATTTTGTCAAGGTGATTTTTTTTTCCAGGTCTAAAAGAATAACGTTGTCCCCATCAGCCATGTCACTGTGAGACAAGATGTTTTTCAAAACTCAAGGAAATAATGCGTATTTCCATCTTGCTCTTTTGACTAGGAAGCGGAATGACATATTTTGAAATAGAAAATTCCACTAAGTGTTATTATAAATCTTAACAGCTGATCAAATAGTATATTTGTTGTTTGGACATTGAAATTGTACAGTATGTGATAACTAGTGACAATTAATATGTTCGATGCTAAAAGCCAGGCCTGCTATATATAAGTCGACTACTTCATCTTTGTTTTCCTTCTACTCTACTACTAAGATAGTATACATTTTCTACCAAATTCGTTTACAAGTTATTATCCAACTCTGGTTCTTTAAATATTAAAATTATGTGTGAATTGTATTTTACGGTATTACCAGGTGAATAGGTATGTATTTTCTTCTTTTCATGCGTAATGCTAAGATAATAGCCCATTTTTTAAAATAATATGCCTCGATAAGTGTTTGACGTTCAACAGTTGTTCATTTTGTTGTAATATCATGTTTGTCATTTGTTTATGAATGAAAACAAATACATGCTTTCACAGCCCATATAAATTACCTTCTTAAATATGATTAATTTCAGATTACCTTCTTTAGAGGAGATCCATTCTTATCGAGGTAAGAACATCCTTCAAACACGAAAAGCTTTTCTTAGTATATAATAGCTAAATAAGTGATTCTAATATCATATTTTTCCTCATCCATTTAGTCATGGATTAATGTCTAGCGATGATTAAACATGGCATTTCAGGTTTTCCATCACGAAGAACAAGGGATTTTATAATTTAATGTCCGTGTACTTAATCGCACACATATCCTACCCACTTATCCCTACGAACACTACATTTGTGGACCGATCTACACCCCCTATCAGTGTTCGTACAGAGGTCGTACAGAGGATATTTTATGTTGGGGACCGGGGTAAAATTCAATGAATTATTGAAAATTGCATTTACTTTTTTTTTAACTTTTTTATTTGTGTGAACTGCCCCTACCCTAGCCCTCGCTGCGTACATGCAGTCATGGTTCAGTGGCAAAGCAATGGCCTCGTAACTGTGAGGCTCTAGGATCAAAACTGTGTCGATGTGCCATATTAGTTCCCTTTTTTGTGGGGCATTAGTCCTCATTACTGTCATTTATGACTTAAGTGCGTAGGTCCCCTAGTTGATAAGCATAGTAGCATACACATGCTTTAGCAGTCACGCAAAAACAAAAACAAAACACTGGCAAATATTATTCAATAAAATCTGAGAATGTATACTATTATCTAGATCTATGAGGAATAATCATTGTCAAAATAATTCCATAAATTTGGGTAAAAAAAAATATTCCAACTATATGAGCGACAGTGTATATGCATGTTCCCTCCTTTTGAAAACACCCCCTAAGTCCGGTGTGTAAAGTCAATACGGGCCGGATTTTTGTGTACTACAAGCCGGACTTTGGTGCGTGAAAAGTACCCCTTTACCGGACATTTTGGTAACACGCATGGTATCCCTCCGTTCACGGAGTGGGGGGGGGGGGGGGGGGGGGGGGGGGGGTAGCGTATGTAAGTGTGTTTTGGCGGGAAAGTTATAAGAGAGAGAGAAAGAGTCTAGACTACAAGAATAACAACAAAAATTGTATAAGGAAAGATAGAGAGTAAATAATAGAATGATAAAAACAAATGATAACATAACAGAAGGTGATAGAAAGAAGAAACAAAGAATCACATGAGGAAAGGAAGGAAGAGAAAATGAGCCTTATAAAAACAAAGAATAACATAAGAGAAGGTGATAAAAGGAATAACAAAAAAAAGAATAACATAAGAAAAGGTGAAAGGAGGCAGAAACAGAGATTAAAATGAATAAAGATAGAAAGAAAAAGTGATAGAATGATAAACAATAAATATTAATTTTGTGAAGGAAACTAAAACAAAACATTACTTACAGGCCGCCGTACATAAATTTTGATTACGCGCGAAAACGACCCGTGCTATTATAGCAACATGATGCAACAGGTGTTGGATCCTTCATATTTCTCCATGTATACTAGATTGCGAAGGATTCAACACCATTAAAATAATTTGACAATTGCGTTTTTGAAGGTGAAAGTGAAAGAGAGGTAATATCCACTGCTTGGTCGGCCTGCTCCCTGACTTATAATACGTAATATACTGGGCAGTGCGTGAGGGGGGAGGGGGGGGGGGGGGGGTATCATTCAATATTTATTTCAGTGTGTACTTGTATTGTATCGGCTTCTGAACTGATGAGGATAGAAATTAATGTTGGTATTAGTAATGGGATCATTCATATTTTATTATAATCTGTTAATACTACATGTCAATACTGCCATAATACATATCATTGATTTTCAGATAGTGGAAAGGGCGATGCTCTGTTGAATACGGAACCTGCTGGCACATCTCAAGCTTTAGCTGAGGAATCAGATCAGTAAGTTTAAGTTTTCATGAGTCTCGCAATTCAATTTCATGTGCTGATGCTTGTATTACAGCGGCATTTCTTTTCCCGCCCAACTTTTTAAAACCAGCATGCAAATTAACATTCAGTTCACTCAGTTTCATAAGATATCGAATGAGGGCTTAGATCTTCATTCCAAAAGTGTTCTATTTTTCCAGGTTTAATTTTAGGGTCATGGGTCACTTTATTTCAAAGTGTGTGACGAGCTTTCATTTTCAAAATGCACGTAAGGAGCATCCGATTTCATGCCTGCAAGTCTCTGCAGGAGTCATTCATCATTCTCGTTACAGTGAATGTGACACTTGTACAATACATTTCATGTATATTAAAACGTTACGTGGTCAAGTTTTGTCTTTAAACATGCATTCGAAATTCTCTGCAAATTTTGTCATGACAAAATCCACATGAAGGAAATGAAAGAATAGATCCCGTAAGGAAAAAAAGATGAAAAGCAATACGTACAAAGACGTATTTAGCTACATTTTTGGGCTCTTAATTGTAATGCAAACCATGCCGAAACTTATCAAATGTGATATCATCTTGTAGGAAATGTAATTACCTAACGACATGTCACTCATGCTAAACTGAGGTTCTGTTAGACATATTCCAGCAGCATATATTCGAATAAGTCCAAATAGAAATACCCAACAACCTTTTGCAAGATTCCATGTCTCAAAACCCGTCAGATTGGGGTTTTGCATCCCCCATATGTCAAGCACTTAGAGACATTGTCGATGTAATAAGGGCTATTATATAGGGGTCCATTCGCTATTCATAAGGACCGTTATTCATAAGGACCTCTATTCGTAAGGACCGCTACTCATAACGTGAAACTTCCCATACCTGCAGGTCCGCTATTCATAATGGTAAAAGAGGGTCACTATTCATAAAGAAATAAGGTTCGTTAATCATAAGGACCGCTATTCACAACGTGAGATGAGGGTCGCTGTTCATAATACGAAATGAAGTTCAGTCGTAAGGGTCGCTATTCATAATATGAAGTCAGGGTCGCTATTCATAATACAAGAAGAGGGTCGCTTTTCATAATACGGAATGAGGTTCATTTTACGCATAAGGGTCGCTATTCATAACACGAGAAGAGGGTCTCTATTCATGATACGAAATGAGGTTCGCTATTCATAATACCACGTGAGGGACGCTATTCATAATAGGAGAAGAGGGTCGCTATTCATAATAGGACTAGAGGGTTGCTATTCATGTAATGTATTTATCTGGAACGGAGTCATGGGATGTCCTCTAATTGAAAGATAATTTGCCACACGTCAATAGGTAAATGACCAACAACATCAAATTTACAAGAGATGTGAATAACCTAGTTGTTAACTGTATAAGTTTTGTTTATTTGTATGTGTTTTTTTCTTCTTCTTCGACAGAAGAACTATGGAGGCCGAGATGAACGACTATGACAATCTTCCGGCAAAGGCGCAAAGTGATGGAACATACAGTGAAGAGCCAATAGACCACGCCTTAGGTGAGATACGTATGAATCTGAGGCTGGTGAATATTTGTATGCAAGAACACATAGGTATATTCACCTCCAAGTTAAGAATCTGTATTTATATATAGATCTGTGTAGTCAGCAGTGAATATGTTGATCAACATTATCAAACAAAATATGTTATAAATGATATGTGGTTTGTGTCAAATAAATCGAGTCCTAAATGTTACCTTTTCCCATTTCCAAAAAACAGGTGAATTGACAGGACTAGATTTCCCTCGGAAAATAGAAGCAGTGCAAGGCCCCACAGGAGGACAGACCATGAAACAGGAGCCTTCAGCAACCAATGTCCAACCTCTTCCAGATGACACGTCCTCCGCGAACCAAGGTAATGTGGCGAATGGAGGTAAAACAACTGTCAGTCTATTCAAAGTTGATACGCGGTGCCATTCAATGAAACAGTTTTCGATAGAGAACTCCAAGCAAGTACGTACACATGACACTGTATCGTCAAAATGCATTGTTATGGCGAGAGTATGATCGTTTTTTTAAATTTGGTCGAAGATAAATTATGAAAACAGGACAAATATACACAGTTTTGTTGACTTGATTTGTCACCTGGCCTTTAACTGCGACATTAGCAGATAATGTTCTCCACCTCTACCTAATTAAGGTTATACTCGATGTCGCCATCAGGAAATTTTCTCAAGATTTAATTGAACCCTGCATATGAAGAAATGGGGAAGAGAGATGCGCAGAAGAATAACTAAAAACATGAGGCAACCTGCATAGTATTACAAGCATTTTGCAAACCTACAACAGCCGCTTTGAGGTCGAAAAGTTTGTTTTGACAGGCCCATATTAATATTATTATTATTCCTTATTGAAACCAAAGTTGTATTTCAAATACAAATACAACTACGACCAGAGACATAACACTGGTAACAATAATGTACAAAGTGATACCGTGCACAAAGCGTACAGTATGATACATGAATTTTATGAATAACAATGTAAACTCATGATAAAATATTGCCTCATGATTGTGGCGCACTTACGCACTCATCGCACCTTCATTATTTTTTATTAGGTGTGCGCATATGGGTGTGTTTGGTCTGGGGATGAAGATTGTAGTAATGAGTACGAAGCGCGGAAGCTCTGACGTTTCATTAAATTATGAGAAAAATCAGACGATTTGGTGTACTGTTCTCTACTCTTAATCCTTATCTGAATTTAGTTCTCCCAAGTTTTGACGTTTCATTAAATTATTAAAGAAATTAGAATATTCGTTGAACCGTGCTCGACTTTTAATCCTTGTCTGAATGAAGTTTCCCCCGACGGCGCTAAGTGCGGAAGTTTTGACGTTTTATTAAATTATTAGCGAAAGCAGACGATTCGTTGTACCGTTTCGACCTTTAATCCTTGTCTGAATTCAGTTTCGCCCTTCCCGCGTAAAGCGCGAAAAGCTTAGACGTTTGATTTAATTATCATAGAAAGAAGACAATTCGTTGCACCGTTCGCGACTCTTAACCCTAATTTGTATGAATTCAGTTTCAGTTTTGGAAGCTTTGACGTATCCTTAAATTATGAGAGAAAGCAAACGATTCGTTGTACTGTTCTCGACTCTTAATCCTTATCTGAATTCAGTTTTTCCCCCTCCCTCGCAAATCGCGGAAGCGTAGACGTTTAATTAAATTATTAGAGAGAGAATACAATTCGTTGTACCGTTCTTGACTCGTCTAAAGGAAGTTTTTCCCTCCCGCGCGAAGCGCGAAATTGTTGGCGTTTTATTCAAATATAGAGAAAGGAAGACGATTCGTAGTACCGTTGTTGACTCTTAATCCTTGTTTGAATTTAGTTTCCCCGAAAATTTTAAACCTTTGATTTCTTTAGCTGATATTATAGGAAATTGAAATTTCGAGAAAATACAAGTATTGTAGTTGTAGTCACTCCCGGAGTCGTCACAGCGGATAAAAAGTTACAGTTCGTAGGGAAAAAATCTTGTCGGCCGACCGACAATATACATCTCACCGACTTCAAATTTCTGCATTGATATAATACACGAGGATCGAGCAAGAATACCGACACAGCTGACCCAACACAGCAACATATTTACCCGTGTCTTTCTTGCTCCCTCGACGAGACGACTCCACCCATCAACCCCCTCTCTCTTTTACTCCCACTCCTCCTCTTTCAGGCTCTCACACTCCCTCTCTCTCCTCTCTTTCACCCCCGTTTCTTTTGTTTCCCTTTTCTCCTTTTTCTTCTTTTTTTCCTTTTCTTTCTTTTCTTTCTTTTCCTTTCTTTCCTCTCCTCTCTTTTTCTCTTTTCTTTCCATTCTTTTCCTTTCTTTCCTTTCTTTCTTTTCTTTCCTTTCTTTCTTTTCTTTCCTTTTTTCTTCTTCTTTCTTTGCCTTTCCCTCTTTCCCCCTCCCCCCTTTCTCTTTTTTCCCGACGGCAGCGTAATTTTACTGACAATATCCTGACAGGTGGGTGGGAGGGGGGGGGGGGGGAGAGGGGGGGAAGTCGCACCCCAACACCCCTCCCCCCCTTTAGAGACGCCCCTGATTTCACCCATTGGCTAAAAATAGGTCGGTTTGGAGTCGGTCTTTAGGAAGGTCTGCCAGTGTGACTGAGGTATGATGGTGGCAATGATTGATGATGTTGACTGTGTTGGTGATGATTTTGGTGATGATGGTGATGGTGATAATCGTACAACTCTTGAAAACATGTTGGTCAAGTAGATTATGCAATCTTTTACAGTTGAGAAAATTAACAAACTTTGTACATCCTACCAACCTTTATTTTTCAGTCGGAGAGAAAGTCCATTGGGATCTTTTGACAGAAAGTCCTCGAGAACTTACCCTTCAAGATAATGAAGTAGTAATATCATGCGGTATCAGGTTCTCGCCTTCTGGAGTCAAGCTCAGCGAAACTATCAAGGTCACGTTGGACCATAATGCACATTTCACCAATCCAAGACGTGCAGAGGTCGTCTTCTACACCCGCAACAAAGGTCTGGGGCAACTATCGTGACAAAAGCTCCTGCGACAACAATTGTTCCGGGCTTTATTTCTTCAAAGTTATAAGCATTTGGTTGGGGTAGAAATTGAGTTCCAGATTTAAGTTAAGGATTTGTGTATTGGAGGAGATTGAAGCGGAGCAATTGTCGCAGGAGCAAGTATCATAACGTTTACCACAGCTCAAATGTCTTTTTCATCTAACAAACAAAACAATGTTGACATAGAAATATAACACTAAATATAAGTGAAATTATCGTTGAAGCTTAAAATAAGAAAACAATATATGTCACTTTTATTTCCTTTCTTTTTTCTTTTTTGTTTAATTAAGTAAGCTTAGTGATAACTTATTTACGGACCAGAAGGTGATTCTATGTACACATTCCCTCAGCCCCGCCCCCTCCCCCTCCAGATTTATTTTTGTGGGCATAGAAAGAAGAAAATTAATTGGCTGATGGCCCTACTGCATAGTGAAAGTTGATGCCAACATATCTATATGCTGTCTCTCAATAATTTGTTGGATTATATATCAATATATTGTTAATAGATTCACCAATAATATAGGATTTGTCATAAAAAAAATCAAATGACGTACAAGTTTCTTGGAGACCGAATATTTATGTTATGAATTTCGTTGTTATAGACTCAACAACTTTTGTGAGAATTCCCGCATCCACGGACGGTTGTCCGGCACGTTGTGACGTCAGATCAAAGGACTTGGATCTCTACGTAGATCATTTTAGTGATTGGTGGATTGTGGCCTTAATCACTCGGTACTTCATCGGAAAGAGGGTCCAGTGTACGCCATATATACGACCACCTGTCACGAAAGGGTTCACTCACTTAGTGCTACTCTGCATAACTGACGATCTCTTGGATGTTGTTAGGGTGAGACAGAGATAAGGGCGTTTGGCCGTTGTATATCATTTTGGATGGGTGGGGGGGGGGGGGGGCGGGGCGGGAGGTTGGTGATGGGCGATGTGTTGGAGCAAATATTCCAGCAAGTGAGTCTAAAAATTTACCATTCAAGAGGGTCTTCCGTTTTTTGCATTTGCCGCCAGATATTCTACAAGATTTTGTAAACAAGCAAACAGATAAATGAATTAGAGAGGGCGAAAAAGGCAAGTTATCATCTTCCCCAAAAAGTTCTCTGAAAAGAAGGAAAAGCAAGTTAAATACATTTTTTGGCTATTTTATGATTTTATGACGTCTGAATTAGTTATTGTGTGTGTGTGTGTGTGTGGGGGGGGGGGGTTAAGGTTGATATGGACATGTTTGCCCTTTTTGTTACTTAAAGATACTATGTCCCTTTTGCAGCCAACATTAATTTTGTAGAACTTTGCAGGAGTCATGAATATGTCATATATGTCCTATCTGTGAAATTTAAATGTTAGCAGTGTCCTAGTATTCAAATTATGCAACGAAACCCATTTACTTTCTAGATTTCCCTGTCAGACACTAGAGTGACTGACTGACATATTGTTTTCTTTGGCAATGATAAACATAAAATGAGCTGTAAAGGATACAAGAGCATTTGTCTACATCAATAACCCACTACTTGTAATGGCCAAAATTAAACTGACTGAATCTTTGCGCAACACACAAAGTACGACCATTCGGTACAAGGTTCTGAAAATCAGACCATTACTAAAAATATTGCAATCACTAGAGTCGATTGGTAAGTCGATTTGACAACTAACGGTCGTTATTTTCCTACAAAAAGCCATTTTCAAACCCTTTTGTTTTTTAGGGGAGTTTTAAATACGTTTGTGCTTTTGTTGTCTGGGTTTCCTTTAAATGATAATAGTTATCAAACAAATTTGATGACGAGTAACTTTGTAGACTGATTAATTTGTCAAACACTATAATCATTTGTTGTTGTTGAAACAATATGTCTATTATGTCTATTTGTTATCTGTATTGTATCTGTATGTGAAATATGAAACTAATAAACTAAATGCCGTTGGAATGTAACCTTTCCATATTTTTGACCAGGAAATTTAATATGTAATTTATATCCTAGAATTGTTGGATTAAAAAAAAGAGCTAAATATATATATATATATATATATATATATATATATATATACAGCTTTCTCTCTTTCTTTATGTATATACAAAGAAAGAGAGAGAGAGAGAGAGAGAGAGAGATGCGGGGGGGGGGGGGGGGTGTCTTCTTTACCATTCATTATGTTTTGCTCCAACAGAAAATAAACGAAGAAATGAAGGAGTACAGAAAGCTTTATCCGCCCCAGCCAATGTTCGTAGAATGGAGGCGTGGTGATATCAATATCGAGTTGTCCGATTGCTCAGAGGAAAATGAAGAGAAAATCAGTGAAAAGGTATTTTCTGTATTCCAAAGCTAGGGGTGTATGGATAATTAAAGAAAATAGGCCACTTTTGTTATGTAATGGCATTAATGCAGAAGCTTAATGTATGTCCTACCTATAGCTGCTGCTGCAACAATTGAAGTATGCGATTCGCATTCTGTTTTACTGGAATTTAATTATTTGTAACGGGTAAATGAAATATAAAAATAAAAAGATTCGTGCATCGAATTACGAAAATGACGAATTTACTATACGTTATATAACAACAATTGCGGACATATTCTGACTGGCCAAACACAGGGCATTTCGAAGCCGGAGTTTTAGAAGTATGTCAAGTCGGCTATTGTGGACGCCATTTAAAACCCTGCATGATTATGCGAGTATGGAAGGCCAATTTGGCCATAGCCCGCTTCAAAACCTTTTCTGATTTCACCCAAATCCCATTCATTTTGCACACAGTGCTTGCGAGCCCTAATCTCGTTCCCTTCAAGTTCCTCGATCCCAATTTTTTTTTCAAACATCGCAGGCAAAATCTTCGGCATCCAATCGAAGTCACATAATTCTTTGTTCATTGAAATCTCTCAAACATGACCGCCCAAGCGCCATTTTGTCTTTTCGGGCTGTTTAGGGGCTCTTCTGTCGGTCTACATATCTCAACCATCCGCAATACTAGAGCTATATCTCACCAATTGCATCTAGTGATGCACGTAGAATCACGGTCGTCAATCAATGCATATCGTTCTAATACCATTGCATTTTAGTTTTAATGTCACCCCCACTCTTTCTCTTTATTACATGCACATGAACAGCAGCTAACCACACATGCACCCACAAAACAAATGCACATATGCACACCCTTTCTCATTTGCAATCTAAATGGGGATATGTCTGACTTTTCAATGAATATAAATGGTTTAGGAATGGGAAGTAGTGATAGCATTATTGAGTTAGTATAGTCCGATAACAGCTGTGCGTTGTCATTACTAAATTCTCATAATTGAATAAAAATGTTATTGTCAAATTTATCTAAAAATATTTACCAGCCCTTTCGCCTCTTTCATTAATTTGAAACGAACAATTATGGCGTGAAATCTAATAATCTGTGATTTCATTTTTTTGAACAAAAAGGGTATGTTACTTATTACATTCACTTATTTTAATTCGCAGAACTTGCATTGCAACGCAATTACGCACATTTCCACTCTCTATCTCTTATCGCCTTCTTATTTCCAATTCTTATATACCTAGGCATGATTATGCGATGTATATACCTCTTAAAAATATCCTTGTTTCATTAAGAGTGTGTGGTGAATTTCTAGCGTCAGGTTACGCTTTTCACGTTGTTTTGTAAAGTGGTAGAAAATGAACTTGAATTCCCTTGATTTCCCTCTTCTTTTAAAATAGATACTAGGTGAAAGGGATATGTACCTCGTTGAAGGTAAACAATTCTCCTTTAAAGTGAAGCCACTCGAGTCAGAGGCAAGCCAAAGGTTCCTCCAATTCACCTTGGATCAAAGAAAGTCTTCTTCTTACCCTACCCTGATTCAATTCGACTTGTCATATGATGGTACGTATGATGGAGGGACCACAAGCTACATACTTTGATCTGAAAGTCTAAAAGACTTCTAATTTCGAAATTTTAAGACAATGTCTAGTGCAACTTGGTTCACTTCTGAGAAAAAGTAAGACTGACAAATGTCAATAAAGTACGTGTTCCTTTTGCAGGAACTTGCGATCCCCGTTTAAAATTTGTTTAACAAATTTAAAGAGTTCATAAGCTATCCACATGTAATAACATAAATGCACTTCTTCATTTTGCGGATGACTATTAAATGTGAATTTCACCTCTATTTGAAACTATTGACGATCAAAATGTTTAACAAAGAAAATATACATTTTGAGAGGATAACCTATTAATGATGTTAATTAGCTTATTGTAATGGAGTCCTAGGAATAATCGATATGTATAAATCATGATTTATTTTTGTCATATAATGAATTAAAAAAAAAAAAAAAAATATATATATATATATAAATTGTTCAAAATTATGACAACCAAAACATAAAATGTACATACATTTTTCTTTGGCATAAATAATAGCACACAACGAGAAAGATTTCGCATTAACCTTCGGGAAAATCAAAGCCCATGGTGAATGACTGAATACCGACTATGATGAATAAGGCATATACAGTATACAAACGTAAATCTCATTGAGGTACCTTGTATTTCAAACACAATCACATTTAATGATAAATTTAGTTAAAGCTCAAGATGTATGTGTCACGTGACACACTTCTCCCTTTTCTACAGTTAATACCCTCCTATACGATATCTCTACACAAGTATACAAGTAAGTGACTAAGCCAGTTTAGACGGGATTTAGTTAATCAATATTTCTACAGCAGATCAGGTATTTTGAAGAGTGCTGTATACCTCAAGTAATAGAAGCGACCCCTCTCCATAGCATCTTTTAAAGAGTAGCAATTATAAATACTAGTCTTTTAAAGTTGTTTGCTAATAGACCAGCCTTAAACTGGTAACACTCTGTTTTCATGACATTGACTGTAATGGACCTGGCTTTTTATTAATTCACCAACTCACTTCTGTTTTGTTTTTTAAATAAATGGTACGAAAACAGCAGCAACAACACACGTGGAAACAACACCAGCAGCAGGAGCAGCATTTTGTGCAATGGATGCAGGGTCAACGCAATCAGGGTTAGTATCCGATCTATAATAATTATTTTTTCAAAGAGCAGGCTGAGTTCTGGCAAAAATAAAAAGTGCTTTGTGAGCGTTCTCAATCTTTGTATTACGTTTTGGAAGAATATCATAGTAGTGAGGAGCGGTAGTATTAACATAAATATTGGTAGTAGCAGAAGTTGTACTGGAGGTAGTACCAGTAGTGGCTTGACTGTTTATTAAAAGCCTGCTTATCCAGGTCAAATTTATATTGCTAATATATTTATGAAATTATTTTATATGGTACAATTTCGAAGAGTTAATATTTATTTCTCCTCTGGGGCAGGAAATTAAAAAATATCAGGGACTTCTTGCCTATGCAGAATACAATTTTAATTCTTAAATTTCAGTGCATCTGATGAACAGAAAGTAACAGATGCGAATATCCTGAACCTAGCAAGGCTTCTAACAACCGATCTTTGGAGCCCTCTTCACGTTGCTCTAAGCATCGATTACAGCGTTGCTGAAGGTATCAGAGAGAAGTATAGAGAGATAACTGAGCAGTACATACACCTCCTTCAAACATGGAAAGCTGCATCAACTCGGACTATAACGGATTTAAATGCGATCCTCATAAAGGCAGGAGCAGGAGGATTGGTAGACAAATACTTGGATTAGGTGTAAAACCAGAAAGAGAAAGTTAGAGACAACCAGAGAGAGAGAGAGAGAGAGAAGAAGAGAGAGAGAGAGAGAGAGAGAGAGAGAGAGAGGAAGGAGGGGGTGGGGCGAGCCAAAGTGAACAAGAATATAATAAATCCTTGTCACACACCTTCCCCTGTAATACTCGGTGACCCCGTTATAGTCAGATGCCGTCAAATAACAACATAGAATTAATTGACAGTTGTCAGCAGAAACACATTATTATCCATAATCGTTCGTCACAATGCTGTTTATACCGATTAATAGTTATGCAAGTTTGGCTTCTTTTTCTTTTCCCTGTTTGGGGTTGTTTGTTGTTGGTTTAGGGAGCATTGTGTTTGTTTTAGAAAGCAAGTTCGTACAACTACAGAGTGATTGTTCCTTATACACGAACATGAATCTTAATGAATACCGCTCACTAAACACCGAAATATGCAGATACTTCCAATGGTCAGTTGAGATAGAAATGTGATTAAAGATCCTACATTATGTCACATCGTGTAATTTCTATCTTACCTATGAATCGTAAAGATTTATGTTTTTATTTCCATTACCAACCCACACTTAATAACTTCAACATGCAGATGCAAACTCTACTATTGTTTTCCAGGTGTGTAGTTTTTCAGTGTTTCCCATCTTTAATTCACACTATGTTTGATAAATTTCTTAACGCAATGTAAATTCCTTTTATGTGTATGCGTTCATTATTTAAAGATGCTTGCGTCTTCTGCTGATATGTAAGTTTTATACATGATATTCTGTGTAATATTCACTGCAGCTTTTTACTATGGATATAACGACTTTTCCTTCTATCAACTGTGGAGGTTAGATATCATAACGCGAACTTGTAGATGTTGTGTTAAAGCAACCATGTTTGTAAAAATGTATATATTGTTTTTAGTTTTACGATCTTTGTATACTTATTCTGCATCCCTAAACATTCAAACATCTACCAGAGGCGGTATTCTGAAAGCTCACTTAACTTTCATTTTTATTCCTCAAGTTAAGTGAACGGTAAAGTGAATATACATCTAAATTTATATATTAAAGCTCACTTAGCGCTTATTTAACTCATGCGCCATTAAAACAATGCCCACTCCCTCTTTTTAGCCCATTTCTACCAATCATATGCGATGTAAACAAAGAACAGGGATGTATACGCTCGTCAACTTAAACAAAGGAAATTTGTGCAGTAAACTACAGCCTGTGAGACTCGGTTTCAAACATGTAATTGTAATTGTAAATGTAATTACAAACATAACTTTAATGAGCACTTATCCAGTATTTTCGTCTCCGTGTATTTCGCAATTCGGTCTGCAATGACCTTTATCTGCCCATGCTCAGACTGCTAAGATATATATTATGTATAAATATATGTCCAAAAACTGTTCCCTACCTTTAAGGACTACATATTGTTTTCGTAATGTTTCTTTTTTATTTCGTTTCTACATATGGTATACTTGTGCATTGTTCTTTTGAACGTAAACATTTTAGGATGTTTCTCGTAATGTGATATAATTTTGATTGTATATAATGCACAATTCAACAAAATACCTTTTAAATGTTATTCATTTTTTTTTTATTTCTTGACTAACTGATCATAGACATAAAAGTATACAAGCCATACCGATGTATATGACATGAGCTGAAGTCTGAGTACCTACAGTTATATTCATGGAGTTGAAAAGCAACATTTCTTCTACATTTCTGTCATGCATGTTCTGAAACAAGTTAACTATGCTTCAAACATAATGTTACTCATTGGTGTATATTATCATAAAATGCAATCGTACTTGGCATAATATATTGACGAATGTGATGCCGAAATGTAGAATAAAGCAAAATTTTGTTTTATTTTACGTGCTTCCAATGGAAATATTCGGATATGAAAATATGCATATACCTAAGTTACATACATGTAAATACAAATATATTATACTATTTATATTTACCACTATTGCTTTTTTCCATCTGTACAATACACAAACTACAAGCACTGCTATTTAGTGGACCCCCCCCCCCCATGTCCTCAGAAATTAAGAATTTCTTGTAATAATTTTATTATGTGCAAAGTTTATTTGTACAGTTTCCTGAAAAAATGAATTATGTATAAAAAAAGGAAATATCTTTGTTTACCTTTCTGTTGGAAATGAAATAAATATGAATATGAGTATATGAATATACATTATTTACTGTATAGTTCCATATTCATAGTATATAATGTTAAACGCTTTGTTCGTATTTTCTTGTTAGATATGTTAATCCAACATTGAAAGCGTTTTGCCATGTAATGATAGATGTATACTGATATGAAATATCGCAAATATTGCAGGGAAATACGTCACCTTGGCGTAAGAGAGAAAGTATATATATAGCCTCTCTATTCGTAAAATTTTGCAACAAACTATGAACTCTAATGAAAATTACAAGCACTTGCAAAAAAGGTGTTCAAATCTTGTACTTAAAGATTTACAGGGAGGCATGATGCCTAGTGCCCTTTGCTTTTATATTTAAAATCATGTACCCATTGTACAATTTACATCGTCTCTAAACTTATCAATTTATGCTGGGAAAAAATACGCTGGAGTCACTCAGATGAACAAATTAGATTAAGTTCAACTTCATTCAGGTTTAAAACGCTTTGTTCTAGTTATTTATTAAATAGTTCATCGAATTTCTTGGTTTCTTAGGATTGGCACAGTTGACTGTAAGTGCTTGTAAGATGTTGTTGGTATGTGCTTCTTTGTGTAATTAAGTTTCTGTTATTGATTTAGTTGACTCTGTATTTACTTGGTATTTGTTATTTTCTAGAGTCATTCTCACAATAATCTGTTTTCTACTGGTCCTTTTCATATTCCATACTGTGTTTTGTATAATTGTTTGAATTTTGTTTATGGTTACGGTCAAATACGATATCTTGAATCTTGAATGACCGTTATCGAACATTCAGAAGCCACAATATTCTATCTTGGTGTTTCTGCATTTGAATAACAAATAGATTATTATAGTTGTCTTTAGGGGTTCAATCCCTATTGGATTTTGTAAATATAACAAATACCTTATACCAACCAAAACACTGGTAACGTTTTGTAATAGTTTATTTCTGTATAGCGATAACGTGTAAACTTGAAATCAATACGCTTTGTTATCATGCCATTTTCTTTTTGCCATACTTCGTAACTCACTGACGATGCATCGATCAAACATATTCACGAATTTACAACTTTCTGTAAATTCATGACGATGCATTGCAACATTCAGAAGGATTTCCTGTATTGTATCGACACTAACATTATTCTTCCATTTGCACATACTGCAGGAAACTGCAGTTTCATTGTAAAGTGATATTGTCAAACGGTAACATATTACAAAGACTTACTTGGCTTCATTTGTTTAATATTGTTCAAACTAAGCCATTGAAATTGTCCATATATTTCTTGAAGATGTCTGAACATTCTTATACTATCTACGTTGGTTTTTTTCTCTTTTGATATGATTGGCCTATGTTTAGTAGCTTCACATCACGTGTCTCTTTTTATAAGGGTTTTCTAGTGCTCCAGTAATGCTGCAGCTCGGTGAAATGCAAAGCCCTTTTTTATCAAATGTTGCAAGAAAAGATGTCCACAGTTTTAAAAATAATAGTGATTGTGACAGATGAAATAATCTGTAACCATGTTTCGAGATTCTCTGGATATAGTCTATATCTTTACCAGCCTATACACTACGTAGAAACTGTATGTAAACTGTTAGTTTCACTGGTGAAAAATTGTAAAAGAAAGCGTTATTCCGAAGTGCCTTTTAAGTCTTATCTTTCATTCAGGGTGGTCATGAAAGAACGCAACACCTGAGATCTGCAGTTTCAACAAATAATTGACACAATGTCACTTGTTTGTAATTCTAAAGTAGTTATGTCTTGTCCAGGTAAATTGACAACAGGATCAACATTTTTGGGCTATGATTATGTTGAAGTAATGCTTTTTTCAAAAGTATTGCAATTGCATGGCACAGACTATCATATATATATATATATATATTTAAAAACTTGCGATAACACCCGTACTTTCTCAATAGTCGAACCTTCAGTAGGATGATTTTAAATAAAGCACGTGATATAAAACATACCTGTATGCAAGTATTCCTGAAAGACCTTATACAATAATCTTTATTGCTCAATTGTATGTTTGCGATTCGGTGTACATATACAGATGTTAATGTAAATAAGTGCGTAGTTGAGATAAGAATATTGTAAATGTGAAATGTATAACATGCCTAATTTTCTTCGTGACATTCGTTACATTCACACAAGGAAAACTTAAGGAAAAGTGATCAAT